TCGACTTGGATCCGATCATTGCAAATTTAAGGAAAAGACTGGATGGTTGAAAGGTAAATATCTCTCAACTAGAGGAAGACTCGTCCTTAATAGGGCAGTCCTCACTAATTTACCTGTCTATTATTTCTCCATTCTTAAAGCTCCCAAAAAGGTCATTGAGGATCTTGAAGCAATTCAGAGAAACTTCATTTGGAATGGGGTGGGAGATACGCGGAAATCTCGTCTTGTTAATTGGACTTTGTGCAAAACCCCAAGATCTAAAGCTAGTCTTGGCATTTGTGACCTAGCCTCGTTTAATTATGCTCTCCTTGTTAAATGATTGTGGAAGTTTGCTACTGAAGAGAATAGTCGGTTGAGAAACTTGATCAACACTAAATTCCCGAATGATCTCTCCTCGTGGCAGACTTCTAATATCAACTCTGGCTTTTCGATTTCCATGTGCGCAAATATTGCAAAAGAATATCATGTGTTCTGGAAATATGCTCGTATTGATCCAGGTGGGGGAGGCAATGTTTCCTTCTGGTATGATATGTGGACTTTGAACTCTATCTTTGCTATTGACTTCCCTAGAGTGACTGCTGCCGCTTCCTATTCTGCTGCTCGGATTGCTGATGTGGTCTCCTTCACTAATAATGAGGTAAATTGGAATGTTGATTTGAGATTTTCTTTGAGAGGAGGAGCAGAAAGAGAGAGAGAGAGAGACTTTTTAATCTTTTAAACTCTTGGAAACTTGCATCTCTTTGCTACCAGTCCTTGCATGATTACTTGGACTCCAAAGCAAAATGGCTCCATTTCGGTTAGTTCGACTTACAAACAGATGATACGTGAGAGCTTCCCTAGTATCCAGAATTTCGAGGCTACTGCTATATGGAAACCATTAATCCCGAGTAAAATCTGTTTTTTCAGTTGGACCTTGTGGCACAAGAAAGTTCTCACTCTGGATATCTTGAAACGAAGAGGTTTGGCTCTTGCAAATCGTTGTACTCTCTGTTGCATTGATGAGGAAAGCGCGGATCTTCTCTTTATTAACTGCGCTTTCATTCAAGAAGTTTGGAGTAGCATCAAAAGGGTGAAGAATTCGATTGGCAATATGGAAGGAGATCTCTCTGCTATATACATTAATCGACCCTCGATGACTCCCAGCAGTATTGATGATTCGTTCAATCTTTGCATTCTCCATGCTATTTTTTGGATGGTCTGGCTTTAGCGGAATCAGAGCATTTTTAAGGATTCCCACTCAACCCCTAAAGTCATTGCCCAGAAAGTTGTTAGGGCGGTCATCTCCTGGCTCTCAGCTCACTCCACGATTGACAAGGATCTAGCCTCTCATTGGATTGCGAATGTTTTACCTAGACTTTAATCTTTTTTTCCCCCTTCCCTGTCTCAGTTTTTTTTTGTTATAGCGTCTCTTCCTCTGTCTCAACGGGGACGGTCATGTCCATCTGGCTAATTTTCTATTTGTCTCTTGCTTCTCTTCCTCTGCGTATGTTTTTTTTTAATCTTCTTTCTCTGTTTTTTTGTAATTGAACTTTTTCCGGGTTCAGGGTTCAGGTCCCCTGAACCTTGTTGTGTTGTTTTTTCAGTCGTTAATAATATCGCAAATATAAAAAATCGTTAAAATCATATCCCAACCCATGAGACCAGTGGTCCTATTGGGAAGCACAAAACCAAAAAAAAAAGTTAATTAGAACTTACAATTAAACACGCTGCTAACTGAGAAATTAGTAAGAACTTACTTAAGCCAAAGGTGAGTAGACCCGAACACTATGTTTGGGAAGAGGTGCAAATGGGAGGAGGATGCAAATGGGAGGGGTAAATACATTTTCCAAAACATTTGCACCTGTTTGGATAATTTGTAACAGTAAAGGGGTGCAAAACGGGGGTGCAGAATTACTATTTCGGCTTACCCCCGAATTGGGGTGCAAGGGAAGGAAGGGGTGAGGTGGAGGGGGAAAATTATGGATTTTTTTAATTACAATCACAAGTTCGAGTGGGCTAGCATTATTGTAGACGTTGTTCTGGGTTGAACGTTTGACTCCGAGAGAAAGTTTGTTAATGTTCGTCTAGTCAAATCGATATCTCTTTATTGACTCAAATTTGCATTGAAAATTAGAGATGAGAAGCGTTTGTGAAAAAAATAGAAAGAAGTAGTTTAGTTGACTCAGTTTACCTAACTAAATAGTTAAAATTTATAGATTTGAACGTGTTTGACTAAGTTTGACCATATTCAATTTAAATATAGGAGAACTAGTTACGAGTTGGGTTTCGAGGTAGCTCGACCATGATTATTATTGTTGCTATAATTAAGATTTATTTGATTATTATTATTATAAAATAATTATTTTTATTAATATGTATTGATTTTTATTTTCATTATTTTATGATCATATTTTTTAAATTTGATAAATCTATTTTATAATAATATAATTACTCACTTTTTAGTCTATTTGCATCCCCCAACTTTTTCATCCAAACAATAATTTACTCATCCACTTACCCCCCACCCCCCACACCAAGTTGCACCCCCCAGCAGTTTACCACTCAACTTGTAGCCCACTAGAACTTGCACCCCCCCCCCCCCCCCCCCCTATTGCCAAACATAGTGGAAGACTACCGGGAAGCGGCAAGCTTCCACGATGAACATACAGTAACCACAAAGGACCGACATGAGATATGACCCAACATACTTGATCGAAGTGGAGGCAAGCAAGTTGACATCATAGGCCATAGACTACGGTCAGAGCTTGCATGGCTGCACCCGCCATCTAGTGGCAGACATACATCTCCTAGTCCTGCCACTCCCACTACTTGTGAGGATCCTTCCAAAGAATATAGAAGACGACACAGAAGTGTAGACCCAACCCAACTATAGCAGCAAGCAAGATGTTGAGATCCCGACCTGCGGCATGAGTGATGATGGTGGAGCCGCACACCGTCGTCATGCATGCAAATGCTGCGTACATCCACCAACCCATTTTTTAGTGAACGGTCTTGGCCTTGACAACGCAGCTCTCCCAAGTCGACTGTAGCCGCCAAAAGTATGGTGAAGGCGCTCGGAACACCAGTCGGTGATCCAATCGGCGATGTGGGAACAACACGACGGTTGGTCTCCCTAGTACGTGACATTCCTTCTACTTCAGTTTGTTTTTTGGTGTGAGGCAGTGATGTGACCATGGAAACTTGAAGAGATGGCTTATAACTTAGAACTGGTCATCCATTTATGGTGTGGTCAGAATCTGAAAATGGATGTAAGAGACTTGCAGATCCATTATTTTGAGTGCATCTTTTCTTTTATTTTGTCGTTCCACCCTAAATTTTCTAAAATTTTGAGATTTAGATCATATGACTGGTAATTGACGTTCCATTTTACCAATGCCTTAGGGACGGAGCCAGCGTTGTGGCAGGGGGGCCACCCCCCCCCCCCCTAAAATTTAAAAACTTAAGAATATAACTCTATATGACCAAAGCAGTTGTAGCATAGTGGTTTGTTTACTTCCTTGCAACTTGAACGTCAAGTGTTCGAAGGTAGGTATCAGCATTACAAATTGTAATATTTGGCAATTTTAGCTTATTTTATCCAAAAAATTGATTAGTATTACAATTTGATACCTCAAGCTTTTGAATTGATCTTTCTGTTTCTTTTTGTTTGCAGTTTGAAGTACATATTATTTTTAATTTTGTTCTACAAGTTAAAATTAGGTTTAAATTCTATGTTGGCATATGTTATCCCAAAATTTATATATCTTAAAATTTGGTACCAAATTTTTTATTTTGAGTGCATCCTTTTCTTTTATTTTGTCGTTCCACCCTAAATTTCCTAAAATTTTGAGATTTAGATCATATGACTGGTAATTGACGTTCCATTTTACCAATGCCTCCATTCTTTTTTGACAGTTGAATTTTTTTCTTGTTTTTTCTTCAATTTATTCAAATATAATAATGTTTGAGTGAAAAAAACCTTCCCCTATCATCCAATGTGTAAAAGAATCAGGCTTACTTACTTATGCTTTGCGGATGACTTGTTGGTGTTTTCTGATGGTTCCAATAGTGGATTGCAGTGTGTGCAGAATGTGCTAGCTGAGTTCTATAGGTAATCAGGTCTGAAATCTAACTCAAACAAATGTGAGGTGTATTTTGGGGGGATGGACAAGGATGAAATGTTGGTTAGAGCTCAGAGATTTGGGTATCAGTTGGGAAACTTCCCTGTTCTTTACCTGGGGGTACCTTTGATATCAGGGAAGTTGACAGTGGCAGCCTGTAGACCATTGATTAGTAAGTTTACAGCTCGGATAACAGGGTGGAAGGCAAAATCTTTTACCTATGCAGGGAAAGTGGAGTTGGTAAGCTCAGTCTTATACAGTATCACTCAATATTGGATGAGTGTTTTCTCCCTTCCTAAGCAAGTTATTAGAGAGATTGAAAGGATTTGCATCAATTTTCTGTGGGATGTGGGTCAAGGGCAGAGGCTAAAAGCGAAGATTGCATGGAAATACTAGACTTATCCCAAGAAAGAGGGGGGGGGGGGGGGGTTGGGCTTAAGAGACATGTTTGCCTGGAATAATGCCTGCATTTGTCGACAAATCTGGGAATCATGTTACAGCAAGGTTCCCTATGAGTGGCCTGGATAATGGCTTACAAACTGAAAGGGAGGAGTTTCTGGGAGATCAATGTTGATGGTTCTTGGAATTGGAAGAGGCTGCTAAAGCTACGAGGTAAACTTCCTCACCTTTTCGGTTTGAATGATGGCAATGTCTATTGGAATAATTCTATAATGCCAAGGTACTCTGTTAAAGTGGTTTGGGAGTCTTTAAGGCCTAAGAGCAGCTCAGTTCCATGGGTTGGTTTGGTCTGGATGCCTCCTGTTATCCCTAGAAATCGATTCTTGGTCTGGCTTATCATTAAAGATAGAATCCAGACAAAAGATAAAATGAAAACATGGGGGTTTACTGGTTCTGATCTGTGTTGTCTTTGCTATCATGTGCCTGAAAGTAGGACCATCTGTTTTCCCAGTGTGATTATTTTAGGCAGTTTTTCCATGATTTGCTGGGGGCTTTCTCTAATTTTATGCCGAGGGATTGGGAGAATGGATTGACATGGGCTATTGATGTGTTTGGAAAGAAAGGGACGAAGGCAGGGAATGGAAAACTTATTTGGCAGTCTCTGATAAGCTATGCTTGGCGAGAAAGGTGTACTAGACTGTTTGAAGGGTAGAGTCAAAGTGTTGAAGGTCTGAGGAAGATAATTCGAAGTGAGGTATTGATGATGTTGCAAGAGGAAGAAGCAGCTGAATTCTGGCTATAAATTCATATAATCTGGTCTTTGGCAGGTTTGCGGTTTGCTAGTTTTATTCGAGGTGTATAGGTTCAGTTTTGTTTTAGTTGAGTCTGATGTATACCAAATAATTTTTGGTTGATCCTAGCTGGGAAGGATGTTCCCAGCAACCCCTTTTCTTTTGATGAAATAGAAAGCAACTGATTCATAAAAAAAAATGGTTGAGTTACATACCATGTGTTTTTTGGTAGGAGTTACATACCATGTCTAACTGCATTCTACTAATTAAATTTATATTGTATATGTACAATTCATGTTGAGAAAATTATGGTAATGACCATTTAATGTAAATGGTATTTTTGATGATTTTAAAGATATTAAAGAATATAATTAATATAAAATTAAATTTTAATAGATTATAGTTTTATTATTAAATTAATTTAGTTCTAAAAAAAATTTCTGGCCCCCCTTTCTGGAATTCCTGGCTCTGTCCCTGCGCATGAGTACCACAAAGCGTGAAGCCCTCACTCACCAAACATGATACCTCCATGGGAGTGGCATCATACTTGTAGGGTCTTGACAAGGTGGTCTACCATGTGATGAATGATGATATACATGGTTGACACTTGGAAACTTAACGACTTTGTCTACTATGTACCATGCAAAACTATCCATGAGGCCTAGCATGCCTGATACTTGTGATAAAGGCACGTTGTATATACCCCCTGCTTTGTTTGGGTACTTGATATGTGAGTGGAAAAGTAATGCCAACACCAACCCTCCTTGCATGATGTTAAGTATGACCCCTCTTGTATGACATCATGGTGGACCCCCTTGGATGATGTCATGCTTGACACTCCTTGTGGTTGAGCCTCAACACTTAGCCAAATTTTCCTTCTTTCCCTACCACCTCTATAAGGTAGTTGTGATGGCCATATCTACACGACATCATGTTTGACACCCTAGTACAAGGTAGATAGGCGACACACTACTTGGTGCTTGCCCTCTTGGATGATGTCATGATTGAACCCTTTGTGGTTGAGTTTCAATACTTAGCCAAATTTCTCCACCCCCATGCGCACTTGGGTGGTTGACGCTTGACACCCCTTGCATGACATCATGCTTGACCCCCCTTGTGGTTGGGTCTCAACACTTAGCCAAATTCTCCTTCCTTTGCCGCCACTTTCTAGGGGTATTTGTATGTTTGATGGCCATCCTTGCACGAAATCATATTTGACACCCTAGTGCAAGGTAAGGCATAGCCTGCTTGATAGTTGGGTGCCTAGGTGGTTGGTGTCGAGGGGGTGGGTACCGAGGCACCTTGCATGAAGATATGAACAACCCAAAATTCCATCACTTAGGCCCAACATAAACCCATTTAATTAATATGGTTAAGTTTTTTTTTTTGCATTGAAGGGAGGCCGAAGCCGCAAAGAGGATTACAGAGAGGAAGAGGGATGCGTCACAACACGACGCTGAAAAGAAATGCCCATACAATCTTCCATAAGAATAGGAGCCAACGCCGGCGGTGGGTCAACAAGTTCATGCATACCCAGGGGATAGACGAGACTGTGCTTCGAGAGCCAGTCCGCGACTCTATTCCCCTCTCGATACACATGCCCGATGCTGACCAACCAATCCTGCGCCAGACACCTCCGAATCGAAGCCAACAAAGCGGCGTAGGGATGAACAGGGTCATGACGACTCTTGATCAAAGCGATAGCCAACTGAGAATCCGACTCAACAAGGACACAAGAATACCCGGCTTTCCTGGCGAGATGAAGGCCATAGTAAATAGCCCAGAGCTCAGCAAGGGTCGCCGAGGCTTCACCCACTTTAGCAACAAAACCCCGGATCCACTTACCATGCTCATCGCGGATACTACCCCCGGCTCCAGCAATCCCCGGGTTGCCCGCCGACGCCCCATCCACGTTAAGCTTGACCCACCCATTTCGAGGGGGACTCCAATGAATCTGCGTCTCAATCCTCTCCGGCCTGGATCCTTGGCGGCCAAAGTTCACCGTAGGGGCCTGCCAAGCTTTATGCCACAAAATAGCCTTTTGCTGGATGGAGAAAGCAAGGGAGGGTGCAGAAAGCACCTTCTGCAACACCTGGAAACACCCTGTACACCTGTTCTTCCAGATACACCACACTGCAGTACTAAAGAAGCTGTTCCAATTCATACCAGACTCCATCACATCCTCCTTAAGGATGTTGTCTCGGACCCAATCTTCCCGACTGCTGCTGAAAAAGCTCTGATGCTCCGCCTGGGGGATCCATCTCAGCCAGAAGAAACGAGCAGGGTAGCAATCCCGAAGAAAGTGAAGGATGGTCTCTTCATCGTTCCCGCATCTAAGGCACATGGGGGACTCCGCACATTTACGGGAATAGCGGAGAGCATTAGTCGCGATGCGCCCAAGGGACACCAGCCAAACGAAACACCTGACTCTTTCTGCAACCGGGAGCTTCCAAATGGTTCGCCACATCTTCTCATTCGGGTCGTGCCTTGGAGGTAAGGCTAGACTGTAGGCCGGGGAGGTTGAGAAGTGGCCATTCGAGGAAGCGGTCCAGAGGATAGTGTCTTCTTCCAGAGAGAGGGGATCCACCAAGTTCGCCGTGATCTTTTGGAGCACCTCGGGAGGGAGCCAAGCCTCCAAGCGATCGATGTCCCAGCTACCTTCTTCATCAACATAATCCGCCACATGCGCATTCAGCATCTCCTCCGTTACCGGTTGAAGCGCCACCTCGGTCAAAGGAACCTGCAAAAGCCAAACATCACGCCAAAACTTAGCTCCTTTCCCATTATGAATATTCCACGCACAGCCCTTCCGAAGAAGGTTTGAGGCTTTATTCAAACTGTTCCAGGTAAAGGAACCTCCCTTAACAGGCCGAAGCACTTCAAGACCTTCCCGTTGCTTCCCGTACTTCGATCGCATGACTTGAGTCCACAAGCAGTCTTTTTCTTTAATATGGTTAAGTTGACCTTATAAACCACTACCACACCCTGAAAATAATCAATGCGGTACTAAGTGATATTTTTAGCGATAAACAGTAATCAAATTCTAGACACGCAGCCAACGCAAAGCCCAAGGTAAGTTTGTTAGGTACATTTTTTGCTAAATTATCATCTATATGATTATTGATTCATGCTTTACTAAACATATTGTTACAGATAACTCGTTGCTTCATGGTGATTTGGAGACCAAGTCTGGTTTGCATGGTTTGGGTATTCCACTTCATGGCATTGGAACCTCCACGTTAATGAATGTCTTGAAACTACGTCATGTCTTACATGTTCCTAATCTTCAATGCAATCTCTTATCAGTTAGACGTCTCACGACATATCATGCAGTGGGTGTGATTTTCTCAATTCACTTTTGTGTTGATCAAGACTTAAGCTTCATAGAGATGATTGGGATGGATAAACATGTTGATGGTCTCTACTACTTGCATATGTTTGATGGGTGTCATCTGGTGGCATTCACAGCTAATCAAGCTTTTAGGAACTCAACACTCTAGCATTCGAAAATTGGACATCCGTCAACAATAAAGTTGTAAGCTCTGCAACCTTATCTTTTTACCACATTAGTCATCAATAAAGACCCCCTGTCTATCTAGTTTATGGGCCAAGCAAACTCTGTTGCCTTTTGTTTCCAGTAAAATTAAGGCCACAATCTTGTTTTGAACTCATACACATTAGAAACGGGTCGGCTATGATCAAGCCTCTTTTTGTCAAGCTCATTATTTTCTTTCAATTATGGATGATGTTATCATAACTGTGTGGGTTTATCTCTTAAAGGAAAAAGACAGAAGTATTATGATATCTTAGAGTGTTCTGCAATCAGGTGCGCACCCAACATGAAAGCCATCTCGTCACATTGAAAGCGATAATGGCCGTGAATTCAATGTCATTGACCTGCAAAATTACTATGAGCAGGCAGGGTTAGCACTTCAAACATCCTGTCGTGAAACACATATATATACTTGATAGAGCAAGGGCGCTTCATTTTCACTTAGGTTTACCGATTCAGTTTTGGGGTGAATGCATGTAACATCCCGTTTCGGCAAAACTCATATTTCGATTGCTATAAAGTTCGCGATTTAAAATCGAGCGTTTTGATAGTATTTCGACGAAAATCGGATTATCGATCGATCGGATAAGTATACGTATTAATTATTTATATATATATATGGAGAGTTCTACGGTACCCCGGGTGAAATCCGGGGTACCGCATACCTTAAGTAAGAAAACGCTATCTAGAACTTGAATTGACTGATCTTTCGGACATTATACTATACTCTAACCCATAAAGATCAAAATCTAGGTCTTAATTCTCTAAATCTTATACCCCAAGAACAATTTAATTAGAAACAATAATCAACGGTTATGATTCGTCCAAATATAGGAAAAAAAAAGTAATACACCATCTTAGGGTTTTTAGTTTATGATTTAGATGATTAGGACCTAGGGTTCACTCATTAAGGGTTAGGGTATAGTATCATGCCCAAAAATCCTGCTAATTCGAGGTCTAGATAGCGTTTTCATACTCAAGGTATGCGATACCCCAGATTTCACCCGGGGTACCGTAGAAGGCACCATATATATATATATATATATATATATATATATATATATATATACGTGCGGCCTATATATAATCCTTCCTTCCCTGTCCATTTTAATTCTCATCATCTTCTATTCTACACCGAGAGAAACCAAGAAGCAGAGGGCGCGCAGGGGAGGGAACATAAAAATTCTCCGAGCTCAATTCTTAAGCTCTAGTGATCCAAAAATCCCGTAAGTAATGCCTAATTCATTCATTCATCGTCGTTTATCGATTTAGAGCTTTAAAACGAGTTTTTGGTTCAGGAATTTCTTGAATTCCCGATAAGCCAAATTAGGGTTTTGGAGTATCCGGAAGCCGGATTGAGCCCAAATTTCATATACGAGCTTACTGCAGCGAGGTAATCAATCCTCTATTTCTAATCCATGAATTTTGGCTATTATTTAGATCGGGGTCGGGATCGTTGAATTTAGCTCCGGCCAGGGTTTGATGTGTTTTTATCAAGAATTTGACCCGGAGCCTAGAACTAATATTGACTGGGATACTGCAGGGGATATTAGGACGGTCTCGGATTTTAATTCGGGGTTCGTTCGTGAAATTGACGCTTTAGTACGAGAAGGTTAAACCAGTGTTTGAACGACCAGAACTGGTGAGGGATTAGCACGGCATACCGGGTTTGTCGTATCACGATAATTATGTTGATGCTTAGAATTGACCTAGGTGAACTAGAATGACATGATTAGGGGTGTATGATCTTTTGTGCTATATGCTGAACCCTGGACTGTTGTATGATATTATTGTCTTGCCCTAATCCTTATGGACCTTGTTTATGCTGATGATTGTGTATATGTTGCAAATTGTGGGCTTGACCGTTGATATGCCTTATGATGGTTCGAAAAGGTGATTGGGTATGATTTTTCATTATTGTTGTATTTGGATGCACATGCGGGAAAATATATATTCCCTGGTGATATTATGACGTTTAAGGAGGATGACTTGCACGAGTGTTTATCCTGAGGAAGTGCAATTATAGGTACTACTCATTAGTGACTCTCACACTCCTCCAAGTGCAAGTGGGAAAGTTCCAAGTCCTTCTTTTACCCCACTCTCCATTCTACAACTTTTGTGTTTAGTTATTGTTTGCTAGGTTTTCGTCTATGGCTTTTTGCACAAATCATCGTTTTTGCCCACCATTTCGCATCTCATCTCGAAATACTGTCGGCGGAATTAATTATTAATATATAAAAGCCTAACATGGGAGTTATAAAAGTCTAACATGAGAGTTACTATTAGTGGCTCTCACACTCCTCCAAGTGCAAGTGGCAAAGTTCCAAGTCCTTCTTTTACCCCACTCTCCATTCTACAACATTTGTGTTTAGTTATTGTTCGCTAGGCTTTCATCTATCGTTTATTGCACAAATCATCGCATTTGGCCACCATTTTGCATCTCATCTCGAAATACTGGCGGCGGAATCCTAAGTTTTTCCCCGCCATTATTTTCCAAGGCCGCTACCACGAGTTTTATATCTTGACCGAGTTTCATCCTCTTTAGTGTTTTTTCCTCTCTTTTTCCTTTTTGTTGAGCACGATCACAATTGAACCCAAACATATGGGTATCCTAACTTGAACACAAATCATCGCTTTTGCCCACTATTTTGCAGCCCATCTCGAAATACTGTCGGCGGAATCCTAAGTTGTTCTCCACCACCGTTTCCACCAAGGCCGCTACCATGAGTTTTGTATCGGGATCGAGTTTCATTTTTTTTAGTATTTTTTTCCTCTTTTTCTCTTTTGTTGAGCATGATCACAATTGAATCACATGGGTATCCTAACTTAAACCCAAACACATGGGTGTTCCCTAGGTTAACATCTATTGTCCATTGTGTTTTCCATAACAATTATTGCCTACTTGGTTTTCAACTCCCTATTTCAGCAACTCTCCACTTTTTGCACCATTTCCCAACCCAATTCGAAACACTGTCGTTGGAATCCTGAATTGTACTCTTCCAGTGTTTGCCATGGCAACGATCGAAAATTCATACTATATATGCTCTGTCCAAACTCAATATCGCTCACCAATTCACAACCTTCTCAAACACACTGTCAACGGAAACCTAAGTTGTGCCCCTCTACCTTTTCCTAGTGCCGCTACCAAAAATGCATACCATATCTACCAAATGCTGGCGAGTTTTGTATCGGGACCGAGTTTCGTCAGCTTTAGTATTTTTTTTCTTTCACTTTTTCCATTTTTTTAGCATGATCACAATTGAACCCAAATCCATGGATATCCAACCTTATTTGATCCGGTCAAAGCGACTTGAAACCGACTTTATTTTTTTCTTTTGGTTGGGAAGACAATTGAACGTGAATCTAAGGTATTGACTAGTATTGTATTGTGAGCGAGTTTATCCGTTTTGTAGTTGGCAGGTTGGACCAAGTGTTAATTTGTTAAAAAATTGCTCAAAGCGCGTTGAACACGTTGTTGACCAGTTTTATATCGAAGCGAGTTTTGTATCCTTTAATGTTTTTTTTAGTGGGCAAGTGATCGTTACTCACCTTTTTGTAGTTTACGACTAACTAGCTAATCGCATCTTTGAAAGGAAACATGGAACTGGGGAAGGTGAAAGAAGCAATACCATTATTAGTGAGCGAAGAACAAGCAACAGATAACACAGAGGGCAAGGCACACAATTTGTGGGCTATGCCATTATTCATTTGCACCTTATCGACTACTATGTTATTTTTTCTCATGGGGTTCATAGAATTTAAGAAAATCCTTACTGACCGACCAATTTTGGCTGTTTTTTTTATCAATTTCATATAGTAATGGTGACGGTCTTTCCTCTTTTCCTAGTCGTGATTGCCCTTCAGTTGGGTAAAACGGCTCCAGGATGTGTCTGGGGATATCGTGCTAGGTCCGCTGACCTTATCATTGTCATCCTCATCTCTCTAATCGTTGGATATTGTTCTTCTGACAATCGTATTAGGATGAACATGTATATGGTGTTTGTATTGGTAGCTTTAAATATCCAAACCCACTTCTTCGTTAAATGTAGATGGAAGGTTTTGGATTATGGTGTGAGCGACATAATGGTGGCAATCGTGATGCAGATATTTGCTTTCTACAATGTGATTATGCTCCTTCATGGAAAGTCCACCCTGCAAAGCTACGGATTGGGATTTACTATCACCGCATATTCTTCGTCACGATGGTGCCTTGTGGAGTAGCAGTGTTTTACACATTCTCTACTGATCCAGTTTTAGATAGACTTGAAGATCTTCAAAATTTTATTTCTTGTGGTTAGTTTGGAATATCTATTCTCGAGTCACTTTTTTAGTATTACCTAAATTCGTCGGTACGATCACGAAACATGGCCAGCGGCGGATCCAGGACATAAAAGAGCACTGGGCCGTATTTGAATAAAATATTAGATACCATAAACAAAAATATATAATAATATAGTTTTCATTACAACGTCAATTGTACAAGAAGGTATTTTAATTTAGCAAATTTATCAATAATATAATCTCCATCCATACTGTCATACTGATAATATACTCTTTTTAAAAGAAAATAGCTAAGTAATCAACGAGAATTTCATCGCTCATTTTGTTGCACAAATCAATGTTCATGTTCCATTGCTGAAAATATTCTCTTCATGGTAGTTGTTGAAACGGCTAGGTCAACACTAGACAAATCAACCGACAAATCAATTTGTATTCTGTGTCCATCCCTATTTCCTCCAGCTTCTCTAATAATTTTGCAAGAGAAGAAACTTCATCTTCCTCATATGAGCAGTGCATTCTCCAAAGAATGCATCTCATAGCCTTCTAAGTCTCGAGGCTAAACTCTTGAGCAAGTTTGTAATATTTTCTTCATCAAAACACCAGAAAGAACGGTTAGAATCTAGTGCCCCACTCAATTGAGGCAATCTAAATGGCGACTCAGCAAGTTTGTAAATATTTTCTTAATCAAAAGAATGGAAAGAAAACCAGCTCGACGGGCTGACAGAGAAATTCATTTTGGGTCTGCTCGTCTCCTCGTTTCTTGTTTTGTTTTGGAGGATTGGGAAATTTTTTGAATTTGGCAAGGAAGGGTGTGCTTTACTTTAGAGTTTTTTATTTTATTTTAATGAAACTTTACACTTTTAGGTTTTCATGTCATTTTTCAAATAAAATCATTGGGGCTATAGAAAATTTAGTATAAATTTAGAGTAATGGCTTGGATATGTTCATCCGAACCATTTTCCTAGTTACACAAAATCCTATTATCAAACAAAAGTAGACAGAATTTTAAATAGCACTGGACCAAATAGCTAACTCAAAAAATTTTATAAGCACTAAACTAACTTTGGAACCGGAGGAGGGCTGGGCCGGGGCCTGGGTTGGCCCAGCCCTTGATCCGCCACTGAACATGGCCCTCTTGTTTTACACATTCTCATCTCGTGACACGACCATGGATGTCTCATTCATAACAATGGTCCTCTCGCTAACTTAACGATTTGGGCTTAAAATCAAGATCCATAAGACCTAATTTAAATAACTTTAATTTTTATAATTAAACGCTTCTCATAAAAAGTATGAATTATCCTGTAAATACTCAATGTTTACTGGTGTAACTTGGTAGGGGTGAACAATACCAATAAGGTTGCAGCAAATTGAATTCTTGAAAACTATCTGCTGCTTTAAATTGTTTAAGGCAGATTGCAAATTATATATATATGCAACTAGTGGATCTACTTTTTCTAGCCCAACTTGGCAGGGGAATAGTTGACATTGGAACATGCATTAGCTGTTAGAGTCTCCATCATGGAACACCTCAATCAGTACGTTGACTTTTGATTCAATCTAGCAGCCCTTGTCATTGAGGGCTGTTGGAATCATGGCTTTTATTTGGAAGGGTAGCTTCCAAATGCCAACGCCTAAGCAATCATGAATTCCTTTTTGTTTGGTAACCTAATGAACAACGCCATGAATACGACAGTAGTTAGTACTAAGTAGCTTGCATAAGCACAACAACATTGTTTATGCGGTAACATGGCACTTAATCATCGCACTCGAATATGTAACAAACTATATGTATATATATATATATACTCTGCTCCTGACAAGCAAGGTTTGAATTCCTTCCGCTTGCTGGCTTTCCCCATGATGATAAGGAAGTCGGCCGCCATCGCGCTGTTGCTGGTTCTGCATCTTCTTGCTGCTGATATTCCTTCATCATCTGCCCTCCGTCCTTATGGTAATCAATATATGTTACTGGTAAATGCATTTCCCCATATCCTTCACTTTCTTTTAGGCTGACTTTTGCTTTTCGAATTGCTCAGGCTGTTGGGTGACTTCACTGCAAGCTCATTACGGGAGAGAACAAAATGGTGGTAGGAAGGCTGGAAATGGTGGAGATACTGAGTTTCAGGGCAAGAACTATGCGGCCTTCCGGAGCTTAAGAACAATTTTGCCCAAGAGAGCGCCACCTCCACCGATTGTTAATAAGAAGAAGTCGTACAATGCATTTTCCACCCCGTCCTCCTAACGTCTGATGATGTGGTGAACAATGGATTTGATTGATTTCCCCAGTTTATGATGGATGCTTATAGAACATTTACTACCTACTGTATGTATACTGCTGTACACAAAATATGCATAAAGAACAGTTTTACTTTTACAACCCCTTCAATCTGCTCTCAAGGCTGAATTACCAGCTTGTGCAACCTCAAATGGATGTTTAATGTGCTGCACAAGACCATCAATGGAAACCCCTGCATTCCCATGGATCCTTTTCTATCTTTCCATTCAAAGGAAAGCTCACTGTCAAGTTCCACACCAGCCCTCCAACTTTAGCCAAAGTATTCTTCCGTGCAAACCTACGAACAGCTCAGGGAACTTACCTTCACGGCCATCTGCAAGCCTGTATGCAAAAATTCAGCAGAATATCCACATTGAAAGAGTAAGTGTGCCTCAACAGACAAACATCATTTTCTACTTTACCCCATAGCCAGAGCTTCTCCGCTATTGCAATCCTGTTTTTGATCAGTAGCTAATGAATAAAGCTATGCCTCTATATCTGATAGTTCAGCCAAAAACCAAAGACGACCATGAAACAGGGGAAGCTACTGGCTGTGGCTTGCATCCGGCCAAACAGGACTTACTCAGTACTTACTTAGTCATTCTTCTATCATTGCCGAAGACCTGAGTACCCCAACAAAGTGACAAATCTCTCAACCTTATCCCTGATTTTCAGAAGTTTTCTATTCCAGATACAAGAACATCAGCTACTAGCATTCAGTTCCCAAAAGGAACCACCCTTTATTCTGTAACGATATGTCTAGGCTACCTACCATAAACCTCCTCTGCTTAATATATTCCAAATGTGTCTAGGTGAACATGCTAGGTTTCAGGTTCTGACACACTTAATACCAAGTCCACCTTTGTTTTTGGAACTGTAACCTTTTCGAGATCTTGCAAGCCGTAAACCGCCTTAGATCCCACCTTCATCTCGAAAAAATGTCGTTTGCTACTCCAAACGAGCTTTTTTCCGATTTCGTCTAACTTTGGGCAGCCATAACTTTGTGCTCCAAAATTCGAACGTCGTAAAAAAAATCATTTCGCATAACTTTTTGAGGACTACAACTTTTACCATAGACATAATTTCGGATTGTACGTGGATTTGTGAAAAGGGAAGGTAAGTTATTCCCAAAACTCTGTATATCCAAAAATAATTCAAGTTTTGAAAATTCATTCCTAGTAAAAATTGTAGTCCTTAAATATTTATGCAAAATGAAAAAAAATTCATTACGATCGGATTTTGGAGCACAAAGTTATGGTTGTGAAAGTTATTGAAGATTTTTAGCGTTCAAGAAATAAAAATTTGTCAATATATTATTGTTTCAAAAGAAGAGTTGTAGTTTGGTGGTGTAGATGTTGTGTTAAATTTAGTTAACTATTTATTATATCTGGGTTTGAACCACCATACACACAACTTGCTGCTTTTTTAATCTCTACTAAATAAAAAGATCTAATATGGTTGTTCGGATTTTGGAGCACAAAGTTATGGTTGTTCAAAGTTATTGAAGACTTTTAGCGTTCAAGAAATAAAACTTTGTCAATATATTATTGTTTCAAAAGAAGAGTTGTAGTTTGGTGGTGTAGATGTTGTGCTAAATTTAGTTAACTATTTATTATATCTAGGTTTGAACCACCATCCACACAACTTGTGGCTTTTTTAATCTCTACTGAATAAAAAGACCTAATATGGGATGATGGGGGTTCGAACCTAGGACTTCTTGCACACAAATACACAATAAATAGCTAAACCAATTGTCCAAGAGCACTTATAACATTTATTAGGAAAAAAACAATATATAATACAAAACTCTGGGTGGGGGTGCGGTTTGCAACCAACTCGCCCCGGCCCCACGCGGTCGGCAAAACCTTCCTCTACCCGTGCGGTTTTCGTGAAAGTGTGCTATTTTTGAAATTTTTTTGGGTTAGATGCTATTTTTGGTATTTTTTTTATACAGTGCTATTTCTGGAAAAAATCCTCATTCATGATGACACTTCATTTATATTATTTGTCATTTTCATTTTTTATACATTTTCTCCTTCTATCAAAATATCTTTAGTACTTTCTTTCGTATTTCTTATCTAAATCATAACTATATGACAAATGAGCCTCTAGTAGACCTAGTTTATTTTTTTGTACTCTTTGATGTCTTCTTGGTATTTTTGATCGTTTTGAAGGTACAAAACAACCTAAGGAGATTTATATCAAGCATTGAAAAACTCTTGAGCACCAAAAGAGTTATAAAGAGAAGAATATGGAGCTTTCATGATAAAGATAAGGTCCAATAACAGAGAAGTCTGCTAGAAGTTATTATACGAGCCCAAGACTAGCTCGATAAAGGAGAGCTTGGTCCGAACCGATGAAGAAACCACCGACAACCCAACATTGGGTCCAATTATCACTCGAGGATACCTGGTCAAGACGCGTTCAAATAATGGGAAGAGGTCATCCATGGGCCAAGGAACCCATCTCACGAAGAAAATGGAAGACGGTCCCAATCGCCGCCCTACCGCCCCTCAAGGCCAAGCCTTCTTCAAGAAGTTACTAAGTCTACAAGAAATAGGAAACCCATTCCTAGGCATTTTAGGAGAATTTTAGCCGAGTTCTTCCCCTATAAATAGAGGGCATGGTTCATTCGTTCATTAACTACATAACGACACAAAACTTGTGTACTCTACTCGAGTAAGAGCTTAGCTTTCGTAGGAAAGTCTGCAGCTGAGAAAATGATGTCATCATAAATTTTATTTGAAATTAATTGCATGAGGATTTATGTGAATAGGTTTATCATTGTATCTATTGATGCTATGATTTCATGTCATGCTTGTGGATTTTGATGCGCACTATCTGCATAGACGCTTGCTTTTCTATGCTTATGTGATGGCCATTGTTGTTTAGCTACTATGAATGCTCTTTATCATCGATGTTTATGATTCCATAGTATGCTACTATGTGCATTGTGCTTCGTATCATCAAGATTTATATGAAATTACCCTATAGTGATACCCTATTGATTGTACACAAGTATAGAGGGAATGATCAACTATTTATACCTCGAGTAGTATCAATGCTTATTGTTAGATCCTCGATGCTATAGACTTTCAATTATGGCTTGTAGAGGCTCACACTTAATCATGGGCTATCATGAGTTTCTTGTTCTTCACTAGTTAGTTGATGGCATGAAGCACAAGAATGCATTAGTTAGTGAAATTTCTATCGCAAGAGGTGAATGCACGGGTAGAGAATAGCTTTAGTAGAAGAGATAGAGTGATGTTATAGATGAACCATTGATCATTGAGTATTAGTATGTAGTATGTACGATGGTATTCAAGGGTTACCTTCTTATACAATAATGTATCTTTACTTTTATATATGGGTTAATATTTTTGTATGGCCTGAACTTTGACCAAAATAAACATCCTGACCAATCTTTTCAATCTATAACATCCTGGCCCAGACTATACATGAAAATAAACAATTTGGCCATATCCGACTTTTGATCGTTAACTTGGACGGTCAAACGCGTTGACTAACGGTCAACGCGCCATGTCACTGCCAACTCAGCAAATTTCAATTAATTTTTCTTTAATTTACACCTATTTCCATTTTCTTTCCTTTATCATTTTAATGGAAAAAAAATTCACGGATATATCCCCCAACAGACCCCTTGCCCTAACCTCATCCTTCAACAACGGCACCGCCCATTTCACCAGCAACTCTTCCTTCGCCTTCCTCCTCGTCAGAAGCTCCAACAAAACCACCCCAAACCCATAAACGTCGCTCTCCCTTAGGAGAGGAGAGGAGAGGAGAGGAACGAAGTAGATATGAATTCCATTCAGGCGGGTAAGGGCTTGGCTTGACTGTGCAGAGACCTAAGCATGAAAACGAAGCAATCTATTTCCGACTTTTGGGATTGTTCCTGAACCAAATGTCTCGACCAATGGGGAGAGGAGTGAATGCCACTCGCATTAATTCTAATTAGAAGAAGAAGGAGATGAGGCCTCAAAGTAAACATTTAAACATTGAATGAATGCTCGGGCCTTTAGATTACTTAGTAAGAGCAGGAAGATGGGTGGGGCGTGCTGCTCTTCTTGCTTTAGTCAATCAATGCAGGAACCTTTCCTTTTGCGCGTTTCCTCTTTTTGAATCGAGGACCGGCTTGCGTCGTTCCAACAACCGCCGGGGAGCACCTCAGTATAAGATCGCGTGCAGTTGCTGGGACCATTTTTTAAAAAAGAAAAGTACAAGCAACTACATCAACTCCTTCGGACCCTGACGTGGTCGATCGAGCTGGCATTCACTCCTCTCCCTTCGCCCTTCGCCCTTCTCCCTTTGTCCTTCCGAGCGGAGACCCGTGCGCGCAGCAGGTGTAGATTTAGGCGAACTAGTCCTGCGAATATGCGCTGATGTTATTTATGAATGGAAAGAGGAGATCTTCCTTCTACTTGATGAAAGACTCAGACTGTCGAAGAAGGGGAAATATACTTCTAATACAACACTAAATAAACCTTTCTTAACCGCGGGTAAAAGAGTGATTGAACAAATATTGAATAAGACAGTGCCTGAAGGTTCACAATCGGGCGAATTTTTGAATGAGCTAAGTCAGTCTATTAAGGCAGTACGGGGGCGTGGTCAAATAGAGGTTGTTAAGCTGCCTTTCCGATCCTCGTCGAGCAGAGGTATCATTCCCAGGTTGGGTTAGGGGCAGATAAAGAATCTGGTCTCATCCAAACAAACGACAAGTGGAAAGTGGATGAACAGTGGGCGGAAGCCAAACGAAGAAATGATCTACTCCTGACGGTCCCGTTGGGAAAAAGAAAGAAGAAGAAAAGTAAGTTTTGTTCTGATTAATGTTGTTTCCCCAATTCCTATGTACTCCCCGAAGTTGAATTTGACGGGTAGATGGAAGAACTGGCGTACTAGGTAACGTTGAATCCGCGAGGTAGATAAAAGGGAAAATGAAAACGAAGAAGACATGTTTAATTTTTTCTCATTATTTATTTATTTAATTAATTAATTTTTCATGTAATTAGAATAAAAGGTCAACATTTCCACCTGACAGTCGTTTTGACGAAAAGGCACCACATCACCAAAAAAACATTTGTCTAGTCACCATTTATGATGGCACCGTTAAAGTTTCTGACGAAATTGCTATATGAGTGTATTTTTTAAAAAGTGGTTATTATTGTTACAAAGTACAAAATTATGGCTATGTAGGTGTATTTTGCCAAACTATAATTAATACTAAGATGTACCAATATAGAGTGAGGCTAAATTTTTTAATTAACTTGATAAAACTACTAGCTTTTTACCCGCCCGTTAGGCGGCGCATTCATATCGGTGTTTTATTTTTCGTTCTATTATTTTTTATGATTTATGTATGTTAAACTATCATACATTGAATTGTTAATCTCACTTACTTGATTGTAGGTATTGTTACACACTTTTAAATCTTTTGTTTATTTATGAAAATTTGATTTTATTAAATGAGCTCTCGGTAGACCTTTCTTTGTTTAATTATAAGTTGGTACCGGAACCATAATTTATGATATAAACATAAGAGATTATTAATTTTTTAGCAAACAATAGTGACAAAGAATTTTAAAAAAATTAAATAAGCAAATATATTTTAACTATAAAAAAAAAGCAAAGAGCTTTTCATTTCTTCTTCCTTCTCGTATGTTGGTATATGATAATACATACTATTGCGCTCTAGATCCTACGAACATCGTGCACTATCAGTTATTTGTGCAATTTTGGAAGAATGAGAAAACACATTAGCATCCACATCATCCATCTTCTGCTTATTCATTTAATTTATATTTAAAATGTTATAGCAAAACCAACAAAAAATAGAACTATCAGTTGTCACTAATTTATTAAAACGATATTTTCAGCAAAGTAAACTGCATATAAACACATTTTATATTCGTAGAGAGCTACATGCCCCCTTTAAAAAACAATGGTGTATTTTTTTTTACCTAATAACAACATAGACGAATTGTAAAAGCGGCATACTTCAATAAAACTCAGCTCATTGTATCTTGTATAATTTTCATTCATGAACACGATTGATGCATCAATCAAAATAGTTGTTCTCAAAAAACGATCGGGCCAAAATCAAGTTTTAGTTAGGGATTCAATGAGGCAAAAATTCAGGCTAATGAAACAAATAAATGTCATTGCAAACGTTTAAAAATTGAAAGAACGTTGACATAGACAATTTAGAGACTACCACCACCATTTTCTTTCTTCTTCGCACCTTTATAAAACATCACATGTGTTCCCTTCTACTTATAACCCTCTGCTACGTTTTACTTACTGACCAAATCATAATCATATAGCTAGAAGCATCTCACTCATGAAAGAGCATATTGCAGGGAAGGTTTAATATATAAATTTATATATTTCATTTTTCAAAGTCGATTGATTGTCAAACGCTTGATTTGTCTCTTTGTGTCGTTATATTTTATTTAACAGACAAAGATATTATTATTTATGTGTGTATTTCTTTAAATTTTTCATTAAAATGTAACTTATTATTAAGTTTTCGTTAAAATGAGTAGATAATTTACTTGATAAAATTTAATTATATATTTTTTGTTTAAACAAACCCGATATTTGTCATTCTTTGTTCCATCTTTATATTTTGTTTAATTGACAAAAATATTATTATTTTTTACATGTTTTTATTTACATTCTCAATGTAACTTATTATTAATGTTGAGTAAAAGTGAGCATAAATACTAAAAGAAGAGAGAGATAGCTTCATAAATAGATCAATAATAAAAAAATTTGTTAGTAAAAAAATATCCACCTAGGCAACTTGTTATTTCTCCAAGTGCTTATGTGGCAAGAAGTTACTTTTGAATTGTCATAATATATAGTATAGATAGATAGATAGATATAGATAGATAGATATAAATTAGTAACGAAAAGAATAGGTATACGAGTCTAAAAGTGGAGACTTTTGGAAGTTGAACCCGCGCCCATTAACGTTGAGAAGATTAACATGTTGTTTACTTTGATTATCAGTACTCGATAACCTACTGCCTCTAGTCCTTCTGTACACAAAGACAAAGTACGTACAACATGCTGACTACCGTAAAAAAATGAAGAAGGTGGCAACTTGGAATGAAGTAATTTTTGTTTGGATTGAAGGACAACTTGGTAGTGATTTCTTTTTTGTTAGGATGACAGCTTGGATTCTTGGAAGTAACATTTTTTTTTAAAGAATGACAACTTGTTAGTTATGAAACAGGAGACAAAAAAGCTTCAGTGGGGACTGAATCGTTATATCTATGCCCATGGCTGGTAAATGTATCGATCCGGTTTGGTCAATCAAATGGTAATAGAAATGTTTATAACTATAAGATTAACCTTTATTTATTACAAGTAATTTTGAAACCAATACCGAACCAATTCTTTTTTCCGTGCGAGTATGTGTTGAGTTTGTTGATGTGACTTGGATCGGACTATCAGCCGCTACGACTGGTAATCGGGGTCTCGTTGCCCGGTCAGCGAGTGGGGTCCAGGGGCAACGCCTCGGTGGGGGTGCGGGAGCAACGATGTATGTGCTCAATGTTATTTGGGTTCGGGTTCTTGGCCTGGTCTGTAACCGTTTCCTTTGCCAGATTGGATTAGGTTTAGACCCACATGGAGAAGTACTATAAATACTTCTCATACTCCTCTGTAATCTGTAATCTCCTCGATATAGTGAAACTGGCTTTCTCTCGCCCGTGGACGTAGCTAACACACATCGTGTTAGTGAACCACGTAAATCGTGTGTCTGTATTTTTCGATTCTCGCTTGCGTATTCTTGCTTTGTCGATTCATGCGATTTCCCGATGAGTAGCAGCGCGTTTATAACAGAGTCCTTCCCCACGGTTTTTGGGATTTTAATCTGACAAACCCAAATCGTTAAATACTAACCAACCGGTTTCTAAACTATAATAATAACGTAACGTTTTATAGTTTATATATATCCAAACTGGATTCGTTAGGTGAGGTGATGAGTGAGGTTTGATTTACCGTTTCCGGAAGTTGTGGATCTATATATGGCTTTCCCTTAGTTCCCACTCAACCTCTACGTCCTCTTCAACTCCTTGAGAGAAACGGCACCGCCAAGTCAATGCAAGCAAGCTGCATCTCTTCTCTCAGTTCAGCTTCAGCATGAGAACTCAACTTCCACCACCATTCACCCTAGCGCGCTCTATATATATAAACATGCATTCTACTCACCCATCATCCATATTACAACAACACACACACACAAAAATATTCATCACAAATCCATAATTCACAAACCTACGTACCCAAACGATGGCTTCCACCAACACATGTCACGGCCTTCTCCAGTTCATTGTAGCAGCAACCTCTTCCATCATGTTAATGTCTTCACTCTGTCACCACTCCCATGCTCAGAACTCGGCGCAGGACTACGTGAACGCCCACAATGCTGCTCGAGCCCAGGTTTGTGTCTACAGTATATATATATATACATGATCTTATCAGTATGGTATGACTAGTAATAATATTAATAACACGATTCGTTCTATTTATATAAGGTCGGGGTGGCCAACATCACGTGGGACGCGACGGTGGCTGCATACGCCCAAAACTACGCCAACGCCAGGGTATCAGACTGCAACTTGGTCAAATCGGGAGGTCCCTACGGGGAGAACCTAGCGAAAGGAAGCAGCTCCGTCTTCACCGGGACCGCCGCCGTGAACCTCTGGGCGGCGGAGAAACCCTACTACGACTACGCGTCGAACGCGTGCGTGGGAGGGCAGCAGTGTTTGGATTACACTCAGGTGGTGTGGGCGAACTCGGTGAAGTTAGGGTGCGCCAGGGTTCAGTGCAACAACGGCTGGTGGTTCGTCACTTGCAACTACGATCCCAAGGGCAACGTCCCTGCCCAGCGCCCTTACTGATTAATTGAAGGAAGGAATGCCTCATAATAGTTATATATATGTTCAATCATCCCCACCGAACTCATAAGCTATAATAATATATATATATATATGTTGGGCACGTGCAACCCAAATAATAATAATACTAATAATGCATATACCATATTCCATCATCTTATATATTCAGTCATTATTATGCTGTCAACCGATAATGTATTTTTATTTTTGTTTCCATGGGATAGATGTGTGATGATGATTGTAACTATATGAGTTGCTCCATAATGGAGAGTTTAAATTAAATCAAAACAAGAATTTATAATTTCAGTATCACTTTATCCATACACTTCTTTTATGTACCATAGGTAGTTTCATGGTAATTTAGCTATTGAGTACTTTAAATAAATATTTGTATTTACTTTTTCGAATATAGCAAAACAAGTGGGAAATTTATGTTGGTAATTATTATTATTATTATTATATCTTTACAGTGCAAGTAATCGGGGCGAAAGCCACTGTTCATTACGATTTTTTTGTTAATTAGCAAAATCGTACTTTTATATTTGTAAGCGCAAGTCATTGGGGGATGATTATTTCGTTCATGGATTTTGCTACACGCAATCCCTCTTTTATTTTTGTGCTCCCACACAAGCTCACTTTGGGTTAGCCAAGAACAATATCGCGTTCCCCATTCCTGTGAATGTGATGCGTCCTTCTCCTTTCAGACCATCCATGTCGGTAAGGGTGTTCAAATGGTTACCATAGTAATTATTAATATAAATACGTTTAAATTTTATTAACCATGAAATACAATATCAAATGATTGAGCAGATACAAAATCAAGATACCATATTCTTTGGTGTTGATGTAATCACTGAGTTTTGGCCTAGTTGATGGTTTACTCTTGGTATTAGGATTATACTTGTGATAGGTGATAGAAAATTATTGTTTTACTTGAAGCATAGAAACCTACAAGTTTGAATGGATGTTGATACTGATGGCTGTGTGTCTTGGCTGGGGAGAAAGATGATTAATAAGTTGTTTGTCTCTTTAATTTGGGTCGCTATCAGAATAAAAAAAAACCTGAGCAGCCATGGTGGCGGATAATACGGGAAAGTTCATTCTTTCACGTAACCGTTTTATCACCTGGTTAATCTTACTTGATCGGATTTCCACTCGTGATAAGCTAAAGGGTTGGGGTGATCACTGATGATATATGTCCTCTTTGTACTACTGCTGCAGAGTCTAAACAACACCTGTTCTGTGAATGTTCTTATTCAGGTGTCTTTGCTGCTGCAATTCTCAAGACTGATGTCTCTCTCCCGTTGGTCTGAAATGGTATGTTTGGGATGTTTGTTGGGAAAGCTTTAAGAGGGAGTAATGCTGACCTGATTGATTGTTCTATTTGGTGTTAGGGGTTGTGTTTCATATGGAAAGAGAAATGTCGTCGATGTTTTGGGGATAATCCCCGGACTCCGGATGTCCTGGCTGATGCATTTAGAGAAGATGTCTGATTGTATGGTTGTGGAAATTCTGGCTTCCACGAAGAGTTTATGAAGATCCCTAGTTATAGAAATGTAATGTAGGTGTCTTTTAGTTTCCTTCTATTCCTTTTTTATTTTCTGTAAGAAGGTGTGGGCATTTTTTGGCCTATGTATTTTCAAGACTCTTTTGCCAATTTGGCAAACAGTGTGCTTAATGGGAACTTCTAATTACCGGGGAAAAAGCTATATGTTACTCATTTGGTCGGGTGTGTTGCGAAAAAATTCTTGCTTTTCGATGATATAAAACTAACTAATTCATAAAAAAAAAAATTGATCGTGAATAGGCTTTTAATGGGCCCAACAAAAATTACCTACACATATCACATTGATCTTTAATTCAAACACATAGAATATTGCTTGAATATGTTGACAAATAGCATTAAGATTTATTTATGAATCGTCCAAAGAGCATATTTATAATCAATAATTTGTGGCTTCCAATAACTTGATTTGTACTAATCTAGTAATCTATAGCTCCAAATGACCCTCCGTGTTTTTTTTCCAGATTACATGTTCATCATATTGTCAACATGTACTCAGGAGCTTTAAATTACAAAGTTACGCAAAGCTCAACCTTATGCATTGTCAGTCCCTACCCATCGGTCCTATATCTAACAACACTTCACATATCCTTGTCCACTCAAAGCATTGAATTAACACACCTCGGACTGGTAATCGATTTTGATAAATGGATCAACCGACAACAAAGCAGGTAACAGCGGTTATCGATTAAACCAAACGGTCGGAGGTAGCCAAAACCTACCTATCAACATATCGGATTCTACCTAGTAAGTAACCTAGGGTTAACTAGTTAACAAGATAACTGAAACCCAACCCTTGACATATGTGAAAAGACAGCAAACAACAACCACCTTTACCCTAATTGTTCCTTTCCCCTACCTACCTCACGTGAAGCCTTCTCTTCTCTCCCTCTTTTTCTAAGTCATATCTCGTTCCCTTCTCTTCGTCTTCTCTTCTCCCTTCGATGAGAGTGACCACCAGACCGCACCAGGTCCACCACTCACCACTCATCAGAGAGTTGCATCGATGCTAGCCGCTGGTTGAAGCCCCACCACTGAACCCAAACCCAACTGGCGATGCGTACGATTTTGAGAGAGGGACGAGTTCTCTGGCGCTGAAGTTGCTTTCTTCTCCAAAGAGAGTTATGAGCTTGGTAGCAACTTGCAAGTAATTCTCATGTCTAATTTTCTCCTTATTTACTCATTTTTCATACGCGCCCAATGAAATAAGTTGTCGACAAAGTTAGAAGTTTGGTCCCTGATTGATCATTTGTGTACATTTGTGTTGTAGGACAAAACCTCCTCCTGATCGTCGACAAAGTTATTATGAGGGTGGTTTATTTCCTCCTCGAATGTCAACTAAAAACGACGATACTCGTGGTTGAGTTTCATAATGGGCTGCTTCAGCTAGTACACCTTCCATAGGTGTTGCTACTAGTTCTAATATGGTTATTCCTCCATCTGCAGGCTGCAGCTGCAAGACCTTCAATTGCAATTGCAACAAATCTAACTAACAACACAGACAAGCAAATCCAGCCCTTACTTCAAGTATAGGAAGAGGATAAGATGGAGATGGTGAGTCTAGTGAAAATGTAATAGAGGGTCAAGGAAGAAGAAATCTAAATGGTGGATTCTTTTTATGGTAGATGACTACCAGGATGACTACCCATATGGAAAATGCAAACATTATGGATAATTGATCAAAGCTCATTCGAGCCTTAATGAGACTACTGGATTAAAAAATCATCACTTGGCATGCGAGGGGAAGAGGAAGCAAGCTAGTGGTCAAACAACATTGAACTATCAATCTCTTGACAGAGAGGTAGGAGCTTTCAAAACAATCAAGACTACTCAACCTGCTTCAACTAAAACATTGGTGTGGGATGATGCTTCTCAAAAGAAAGGCACAATCACTCGAAGTCAAATAAAAGCATTCAAAGCTCAATTACAAGCTTATTCGGCAGAGTATTTCCAATTTTTGAGTCTGATTTGTTCATGGGCCAAGAGGTCAATATAATCCACGTCCAAGAGGAAAAAGATGTACCAGAAAATCTCAAAGATTGATATTCTAATGCCCAAGTCATCCATACTTGTTGCCCAAGTTGTCTTTACACAAAAATAGGAAGGAAAGAGATTGTCTAGCTGCTAAGAAGTTTCTTTGAGCATTAAACATGACATTAGAAATTACTTAGCTAAGAAGCTTCCTTTAGCTTAAAAAATGACGTATCATGTTTTTAGGGCATTTTATTTGACTTTCTTTTGGAAATGATCGATTGTGTTTTTTATTGGAAAAATTTTTAGCATTGTTTTAATCGGCTCCGGCGGCATGAGTATTATGGTTTGTTTAAAAGGATCAAGGTGTTTCACTTGTTACTACAAAGGATATTAGTTGTATTCTACTTGTATAACTGAGAAATCGAGCAAGTCAAGTTCTTATTATTGTTATGATCTTGTCTACCGGGGCCTTGTAGCCATTAGATGTGAGTTTTCTTGAGATCAGTGGAACTCCAATATATCTAACATGTCGATGATGGGCGGAATTGATTACGTCGAATTCTTGAATTTAGGGGGGTCTATGGAGAGAGAAATATGAAAAGGTTGGTTGTCGAAGGGAAGGGTTAAGACTTTGCTACGGTGACATGCATGTCACGGTGACTTGCACTTTTCGGTCGACCTCATAGAGGATCAAGTCGACCTAATCTGTTGTTTCAGTGTAAAAACAGTTTCATGGTGCCTACTTTGGAGATTCATATCTTACAATTGGCTAGATTGAAATTGGATATTAAAGGCTTGTTTTGAAGCTGAAGTGTCCCTCTACACATTAACTTGGGAGCTCAATAGAAAGTCCAGAAGACCATTTTTGAACCTGACCAAAAGGCTATGCCAAAACGGGGAAACTGCCTGAAAATGGCTAAGTCTGGCAACGTGTTTGTCAAGCCTACTTTGGAGCTCAATTTGAGAAGCATGGATGCGAGTCAAGTCTAGGGGCCTCTACCACATTAAATTATGTATTTTTTTATACAAAGGCAAGGCATTGGATGAAAGATTGAATATCTTTAAGGCTTCAAACAAAAGGGTCGAAGTTGCTACGAAGGCTGTTTTTCTGGCAGCTTGCTTGTGCTCGAAGTCTGCCAGAAAAACAGCCTCCATAGCAACTTCGACCGTTTTGTTTGAAGCCTTACAGATATCCAATCTTTCATCCAATTCCTTTAATTTGTATAAAAACATACCTAATTTAACGTGGTAGAGGATTCTGGACTCGACTCGCATTCATGCTTCTCGAATTGAGCTCCAAAATAGGCTTCACAAACACGTTTCCAGACTTAAGCCATTTCTAGGCAGTTTCCCAGTTTTTCCATAGCCTTTTAATGAGGTTCAAAAATGGTCTTTTGAACTTCCTATCGAGATCTCAATCACTTCAATATGTAGAGGGATACTCCAGCTTCAAAACAAGTCATTAGTCTTCAATTTCCATCTAGCCAATTGAATGATATGAATATCCAAAGTAGGCACTATGAACTGTTTTTACACTGAAACAACATATTAGGTCGACCTGATCCTATATGAGGTCGATCGAATCCTAACTGAGGTCGACCGGAAAGTGCAAGTCACCGTGACATGCATGTCACCGTAGGCACACCCGAAGGGTTATAGGTTTTAATTTTTAATTGAGAGGTTGAATCAGAAAATAATTAAAACAAAATTAATATTAAAAGAGAGCTTTTGATAATTTCATAGCTCACTAAATGGCTGGTTAACGAAAAATATGAGTGTAGGTTATCTTTTTTACGTTCTTAATATAAGAAACGTTGATTTGTTCATTTGTAATAGTTGAGAGATAGAAAAAGCTATCAACCCTTATCTACGATCCAACGGATATGCGTCGTTTTAGTGATGTGCCTCTAGTCTACTGAGGGTGAAATGAATGAGTGGCGTGGAGGGCACACACCATGTCCATACTCAAATCTAGAGGTGTCAATCGGGTGGGTTCGGATTGGGTTCAATCGGGTTACGGGTTAGTCGGGTTTCTAGCTCATTAGATTGCGATTTCGTCGGGTTGTTGATTCGTCGGGTTCGGGTTAGTCGGGTTGCGGGTAAGTCGGATTGCGGGTTAGTCTGGCTACGAGTTTCCAGGTTAGTCAGGTTACGGGTCAATCGGGTTGCAGATCGGACGGGTTGCGGGCGGTTCATGTTGCGGGATTTTGGGTCAGCGCATTGAGTTACTTACTTCCTAATCGTAACTACCACTTGCATATTTTATTAACCTATTTTAAAAAAAATTCATAATTTTAGATTATTTATTTCCACATCGTATATGTAATATGTTATATGTACTTATTGAAATTAAAAAACAATTCAATCATGTTGTATGACTTGCAAACTTGTCATGTAATTAATCGTGAATCGGTAAAGCACACTACATAATAGTTATGGTTATATAAATTTTTTTATTTTTTTATCCAATAGTCCTAATCCAACCACAAATTATATAGTGTATCATAAAAATATATAAGTAAAATTGTGGGTGGAGGAAATCTAAATTTAAGGGGAGGAAATGATAAATTTTTTGGAGGGAAATCTAAATTGGAGGGGGGAGGGAGTGTGGAAATTCTTGAAGGGAAATGTAAATTGGAGGGAGGAGGAAATGAGAAATTTTCTGGAGGAAAATCTAAATTGGGGAGAGAAAAATGGAGAGAAATCTAACTTGTGGGAGAAAGTGATGTAGTGAACTTTAATTATAGATTTGGGGTTTCCAAAACTTATGTTTTTATTTATCTTAATGTTAGTGAACTTGTTGGGGAGAAATCTAAATTGATACTATATTTAATTTAAAGTTCATAACATAGATTAAAAAGTGATATTTGGTATACCCTAACCATATACCATATACCATAAACCATATACCCTAGTACACTAACCATATATCATTATGAGTTATGATTTTGCTGCTATAGTTAATTTAAAGTGAAATTCAGACTTTGATTTTCAAAACATAGATTAAACAGGGATATTTGATATATCCTAAACCATATACCTTATACCCTAACCATATAACCTTATGAGTTATGATTTGCTACTATAGTTCATTGAAAGTGAAATTCAGACTTTGATATTCAAAAATATAGATTAAAAAGGAATCTTTGCTACACCATAAACATATACACTAAACATATACCAATATACCTTATACGCTAACCATATATTCTTATGAGTCATGATTTTGCTATTATAATTAATTAAAAGTCAAAATCATATTTTGATTTTCAGAACATAGATTAAAAAAATGATATTTGGTATACCCTAACTATATACCCTATACCCTAAACTATATAATTGAATACCCTAACCATATATCAATTATGAGTTATAATTTTGTTGCTATAGTTAATTTAAAGTGAAATTCAAACTTTGATTTTCAAAACATAGATTAAAAAGGGTATTTGCTATACCCTAAACCATATACCTTAACGACTTACCTTATACCCTAACCATATAGCCTTACAAGTAGGGGTGTAAGTTTGACCCTTAAAACCCACTGACCTGCCCCGACCCGCCCCGACCCTCAGGGTCGGGCTGGGTCAGTTTGTCTATAGGGTCAATTTAGGGTCGTGTCGGCTTAGGGTCGGGTCAGGGTCAGATAGGGTCGGGTCAATTTAGGGTCGAGTCACTTTTTGACCCTATGACCCTTAGCATCATACAAACATGTTGGACCTATTTGTAAAATTTTATAAGTTTAGGTACTAAATTGTAAAAAATAAAAATTTTGGGTACCATAACGTAATTTTACCATCAAAATTTTAGGGACTTATTTGTAAAAAATAAATTTTAGGTATTAAAATGTAAGAAAAAATAAATTCGGGTACCAAATTGTAATTTTTAGAAAAGTAGTCTATTTATTAGGGTCGACCCACTGACCCGACCGTTCCTGACCCGCCCCGACCCTAAAGGGTCAGACAGGGTCATGAAAGAAACAGGTCGGGGCGGGTCAGTTATACATCTTGACCCTTTAGGGGCGGGTCAGACAGGGTCAGGGGCGGGTCGGGCAAATTTTCAGCCCTACTTACAAGTTATGATTTGCTAATATAGTTCATTTAAAGTGAAATTCGGACTTTGATTTTCAAAACATAAATTAAAATAAGATATTTGCTATACCCTAAACCATATACCTTATACCCTAACCATATATTCTTATGAGTCATGATTTTGCTACTATAATTAATTTAAAGTGAAAATCATATTTTAATTTTCAGAACATAGATTAAAAAAATGATATTTGGTATACCCTAACTATATACCCTATACCCTAAACTATATAATCTAATACCCTAACCATATATCATTATGAGTTACAATTTTGTCGCTATAGTTAATTTAAAGTGAAATTCACATTTTGATTTTCAAAACATAGATTAAAAAGGGATATTTGCTATACCCTAAACCATATACCTTATACCCTAACCATATAACCTTACAAGTTATGATTTGCTACTATAGTTCATTTAAAGTGAAATTCGGACTTTGATTTTCAAAACATAAATTAAAAAAGAGATCTTTGATATACCCTAAACCATATACCATATACCTTGTGCCTTAACCATATATTATTATGACTTATGATTTTGCTACTATATTTAATTATAAGTGAAATTCAAATTTTGATTTCCAAAACATAGAGGGATCTTTGTTATACTCTAAACATGGTTTTGTCTAAGTTTAGAACCAAAAACTTGATTAAGCATAATTAAGCATATGTGACACGCACGAAACTACACCAAAAAATTAATCCCGACTAGAGCCCAAGGTTTTGAACTCTAGTAGGATGCAGTATAGAGCAAGTATTTAAATTATCAACCCGGGCCGATCCATATACCCTTACTTCAATCGTTTAAGTTGTTATCTAGCAAAACTGTTTTGGGTTTTAAAACTATGAAAACTACAAATGAAAACAAGCAAGGAAAGTAAATAAAGGAAAAGTCTAACTAAGAGAGCTTCACCTAGGAGTTGATTCCCCTAACTAGCTACCAAGACTCGTTGGATTGGAACGATTGCTATGGGCAAGGTAACCACAAACCGCAGAGGGATGCATATATGGTCGTAGACCACAATCTCAATGGTTAAACCGAGGTGAACATTATAGGCTGTGTCACTCGGCCCTCTCGGTTTAGGCAATCAGTGGTTGACTTACTCCCTCACTCAACTCAAGGGTTGGACGGCTTAATCACGCTTAACCAATTTTCTTAATACATCATTGAGGTTTGCCCTAAATTAACCTAGTTAGGTGGCTTAAAAAGCTAAAGGAAAACCAACTCGATTGAGTCTCACTTAAAAGGGGGATTTTCCTCTCTAATCTAGGTTAACGTGGCTAATTAGATTGCTAAGCACCAACATGCACAAATCTAAGGATGCTAAGCACAATTATGCACAATCCTTAGGTTGGTAAGCACCAACATGCACAAACCTAAGGATGCTAAGCACAAAACATGAACAACCCTTAGATTGCTAAGCACGAGCATGCACAATCAACATGAATAATACCTCAAACCCAATGACAATCATTCAATCTAAACAAGTAATTACAAAGTATTAGTTAGGGATCTACAACACCCAAGAGAAAAGAGTGAGTTTCTAGAGAGAGAGAAGAGAGGGGTTACAAATTTGAGCTCAAGATCTTCTTCTTCTTCTAGGCTTGAATCCTCCACCTAAGCTTCCAATGATGCTCCAAGACCACTCTAGCACTCTCTCTCCCTCTCTCTAGAACTCCCTTTTGGTGTTTTAGGTTGAAACCCTAGAGAAAGAAAAGATTTCTTCTCCCTCAAACGAGTTCCCCCCTTCTCTCTCTCCGTTGCTGTCTTCATATTTTCCCGAAAGTGATAAGCTCACGGACGCGTTGGCCAGTTCACGGTCGAGGACACCTAAACGCGTCCGTGAACTCAGCGTCGTCCAAAACGCACCGCTTCACTGTCCTGGGTTCACGGTCAATGGCCCCAGTTCATGGTCTTAGAGACCTGAACTGCCTTGTCGTCAATAACTTCTGGAACCTCGCTGGACGCCTAGGTGTTCACGATTTGTGGTCGAAGTTCACGGTCTTAGAAGATCGTGAACCGCCTTATCCGCCCGTCAACTGCGGCTCTTTCCTGTGACGCCTTCACTTCACTGTTACGAGGCAATTGCCACGGTCGCTTCTGACTTTTTTTGGTTTTTGCACTTTTTGACCTCCAATTATCCCAAAATTCGACCTCGGCCCTTCCACACGTGCTAGGACCTGAAATGTATCAAAACAAGCACACCCTAGCGTGAAATATGTCGAGGAACAATGAAATACTATGCTAAACAGATAATATATGAGGGATAAAATGTGTACATTTGGGCCCGAATCACTATGATCTATAAATAATTAAATATATGATTTATAATATAAAATAACATAAATTTAAGATAATTTGAGTGACAATATATTGAAGATAAGATAACTTATTATATGTTTTTAAATCTAATATAGTCAAATAATCATTCCATATAACAACATAATATAGTTAATTAGTCATGCTCTCCATATAAAATCTAAAGATTCATATTTTAAAGGTTAAAATTTTGAAAAAAACCAAAAGTTGAAAACACTAAATTTGTTTTCTTCTTTTTTTTTAGAAAAAAGAAAGAATACTAAAATTCCCCTCCTTTCTCCTTCCATAAATTAGAAACAATCAATTTTACCTCCTTTTTCTCTTCCATAAAATTGAAATAACTAAATTTCTCTCTTTCATCCTTCTTCAAAAAGTTGAAAACACAAAATTTCTCTCCTTATTTCTCTACAACATAAAAAAGAATTTATTCCTTTTATTGTTTTACCCCACTACATTCAGTTGCTACTTCTGTGGAACGTGGCTTGTATTGTGTTCTTCATGCTGTTTGCTGCTGGAATGTTTGGTTGGAACGAAATCGGCGAATTTTTAGGGATTCTTATTTCAACGAGGCGTGCACCCAGCAAAGGATTTCTCACACAGTAGCGGAGTGGCTGGTGGCTTTTGGCAAGATTGATAAAAATTAATGAGGCAGCAGGATGGCTCTGGCTTTGTTGCAAAGGTTTTGCTGCTCACTTATGTTCGGTTGGTGTTGTCCCTGATTTCTTTCGCTTGATCGTTGTCTTGGTTCAGCCGTGGACAAGAGCTTCTTCTTGTCTTTATTCTGGCTTTTTGTTGCTTTGGTGTTGTCCCTCTGCTTCTTCGGTTTTGCCTCTTCTCTTTTCTACTTTTTCTCCCTTGACTCATGGGCTTCTTTGGAGGGCTCACTTCTTGTGAGACTTTTGTGTATCTTTTCTTTAGAGTCTTATCTTTTTTTATTTTAATGCATTAATCACCATTATAAAAAAAAACCATCCCTGTACTTGTATAATTAGTTGCCGAGATCATTAATCAAATCAAGTTAGATTCCACAACAATATTGTTTGAAAATACTTCCTTCATGGTATCAGAGCAGGAAACGGTCTCCTAGCCTGTGCCTATCTCGCCCAGTCTTCTCCCTTTTGCTGTCACTAATATTCTATTCCTCTGTTTTTTTTCTTTCCTCTTCTTTCTCTTCGACTGCTCTATTGTGTTCATCATGTTAGGATCAACAACAGCTATTCCCTCGGCAACCTTAGAAGACACCATCATTACATTCAACCCAGCTGCTCAACTTCTCCTCAAATTGACAGCTACCAACTTCGATTCCTGGCGCTCTCAGCTCGAGACCCTTCTCATGGATCTGGACCTCATTAGCTACATCGATGGCACCGGCGTTGCACCTGCAAAAACAGTCACCGCATATGATAAAATTGGACCCAATCCCGCCTATCATCATTGGTATCGTCAAGATAAGTCAATTCTTCATACACTTCACTGCTCCATATCCGAATCGCTATATTCCTATGTCTTTGTCGCTGCAACATCCCGCGAGGCCTGGCTGATTCTTGAGAAGCTTTATGTTGGCCGGTCTCAGTCCCGTATTATCAATTTGAAGGGGAAACTCGCTCGTACTGTCAAGGGCAATCATGATATTCTTACAGATGTGAATGATTTGAAGCTTATTGGCACCGAGCTTGCTCTTGTCGATGAGCCTGTTTCCGATTTGGATTTGGTGGTTCATTGTCTTCAGGGACTTGGTCCTGAATACAATAACTTCTCCGCTACCGTGCGCGCCCGCGGAGGGACTATCACCATTGAAGAGCTCTTGGATTCCCTCATCGAGTTTGAGGGTGATTTTAAGGAACAAGCCCGACTGAGTACTATTCCCACCGCCTTTGTCACGCACGGCCATTCTCCTCGTCGTAGCAGCGGAGCAGGAGCAAGGGGCCATTTCAGTGGCGGGCCTCATCTCCATTTTAGCGGCGGGCCTCATTCCACTCGGATACAGGGAGCCCACAATTCCCGTCCGCAACTAGGGTTTAGCCCTGAGTCCATGGGCCGCAATGCTCCCCTTCTGCCCGGCCCAACTTCCCCATCTGAGCCCACTCGTCCAAGAAGGCAACTTGTCATATGTTAGTATTGTGAAAAGACCAGTCATTCAGTCCGACAATGTTTCAAGCTATTTCCTCAGGTCCGACAGACTTTCTCTCAGACCCGTCTAGCTCAGGCCCATCATACTACTGCTCATCCTCCTTAGTCATCATCGACTGGGCCTTGGCTTATGGACTCTGCAGCTTCTCATCATGTGACCTCGGATTTGGGCCAACTCTCTCTATACTCTGATTATATGGGTCCTGATGAAGTTGTTGTTGGGGATGGCTCAGGTTTGGCGATCTCTCATATTGGCTCCTCTACCGTTAATCTTGGCTCCAGTTTCTTTCACTTAAAAGATATTTTATGTGTTCCTAATATCAAGCGGCATCTCATCTCACTCGCTAAATTATGCCAAACTAACCCAGTGTCGGTGGAATTTTTGCCACTCATTTCTTGCGAAGGATCTTCACACGGGGGCGCAATTGCTGAGGGGGGAAAACAACGGTGATGTCTATGAATTGCCGCGCGATGTGAAGAATGTTCGCATGGCCATTGTTACCACTAGGACATCTGCAACATCGTGGCACGCTCGTCTTTGTCATCCTTCTATTCAATCCCTTACCAGTCTTATTCGGTCTTTTTCCTTCTGGTTTCCTCACCGGTCACTAGTTCTTCCTGTGATTCATGTCTTTCGAATAAAAGTCACAAACTTCCTTTTTCCATCTCGTCTTTGTCTAGTGAGCGCCCTTTTGATCTTCTGTATACAGATGTTTGGGGATCTGCCCCTGTTTCTTCTATTGATGGGTATTGTTACTATTTGATTATCATTGATCACTTTACTCGATATACTTGGTATTATCCTTTATGTCGTAAATCCAATGTGCTCCAAGTTTTTCTTGATTTCACGAAAATGGTTGAGAATTATTTTTCCACTACCATTCGTCGTTTGTACACTGACGGTGGTGGTGAATTTCAAAAACTTCGCACTGATCTTCTTAACCATGGTATAACCCATCTTCTAACTCCTCCTCATACACCCAAACATAATGGGCTTGCTAATAGAAAACATCGTCATTTGGTCGAACCTGGTATAACTCTTCTTCATCATGCTAAAATTCCCACTTCTTTTTGGTCCTTTGCCTTCTCCACCCCCATTTATCTTATCAATCGTCTTCCCTCATATGCCATACGTGGTAAAGTTCACTACTTTCTTGGTATTGAAGTCATACCCACTGCTACTGGCTATCTTCTCTCTCAACATTAGTACATGGTTGATATTCTCCACCGGTTCCATCTGACCGATCTCAAGCCCGCAGATACGCCGCTTGCTGCTTCTGCGACTCTCACACTTCATGATGGCTCTCCGGCTACGGATGCTACTCGTTTTCGTCAAGTAATCGAGGCTCTTCAATACCTGGTTTACACTCGTCCCGACATTGCTTACTCTGTAAACAAACTCTCACGGTTTATGCATGCTCCATCAGCTCATCATTGGCAGTGCCTCAAGCGTCTGCTTCATTATGTTTCTGGTACTCTTTCCCATGGTCTCTCCATTTGCCGCACTCGAGGTGGTCTATCTCTCTCTGCCTTTGCCGACTCTGACTGGGCCGGGAATTTGGATGATCGTTCGTCTACCTCCGACTATCTTGTTTATCTAGGCTCTTTCCTCGTCTCATGGAGGTCTCAAAAGCAACGTACTGTTGCTCGATCCAACATCGAGGCTGAATATCGCTCTATCGCACATGCTACTGCGGAGTTGGAGTTGGAGTGTATTCAAAATCTACTACTTGAGCTGCATCATCCCTTACCATCCTCTCCGACTCTCTATTCAGACAATTTGGGTGCCTATTTCAGCTCCAATCTAGTGTTCCACTCCCGAATGAAGCATCTCGCATTAGACTATCATTTCGTGCGTCAATTAGTCCAGGCTGGTCGTCTCCACGTCTCCTACATCCCAACTGCACACCAGCTCGCAGATACCCTCACCAAGCCGCTTCCAACCATGCGGTTTCTGCTTCTTCGATCCAAGCTCGGTGTTGTTGATACGAACACCGTCTTGCGGGGGCGTAATAGAGATACAACATAAAAAGAAATTTATTCCTTTTATTGTTTTACCCCACTACATTCTGTTGCTACTTCTGTGGACGTGGCCTGTATTGTTGGCTACAAAGCCTCCCTGTACTCAGGGCCGTCCCATGATAATCGGAGGCCCTGTTCGACAATATAAAATGTGGCCCCAAAATATTTTTTCATAATTTTTTTAAAAATAAAATTATTAAATAATAATAAAAATGACAACTACAGAAAATGATTGGAAAATAATAATATTATCTACACTTAGAAATTAACTTTTTCAAATTTTCGGGTTGACATAAATAGAATTGGGTGTGTACAATTCATATTTAGGCGTTAGATATTTTTGGGAAGTTGAGAATTTGGGAAAAGAGAAGAAGATTAAATACCTAACTGTTAGTTTTGATTCAACATACAAGCGGTAGCTCAATGGTTGCATCTTATTTTGATGAGAAGGATAGGTCCATGGTTCGATTCTCCTCATGCGCCTTTATACTTTGGTTTTTTAAGTGTGGGCCTCGCCAGCCCAACGGGGCCTCCGAACTGGTTTATGTGGCGAGCCCAAGGGTCTGGGCCTCCAGACTTAATTGATTATGAGAGGCCCCAATAAAATTGAGGCCCTGTACTGTGGGTCTGACCAGCACAGGGCCGGGCCTGCCTGTACTTGTATAATTAGTTGCCGAGATCATCAATCAAATCAAGTTAGATTCCACAACAATATTGTTTGCAAATACTTCCTTCACGGATTCAATCGGGTTGCGGGTCAATTGAATTCGAGTTAATATGGTTGCAGGTCAGTCGAGTAGCGGATCGGGTTAATCGGACGGATTAGTCAAATCGAGTTATGTTTTGACACCTATACTCGAACCACTTCTGGCTCTGGTCAGTGACGAGACAACGTAAGGCCTAAACTTTCGATAATTTCCCTATCCCAAAATGTTAGAAGCTTAGCTTGGTTTTGCTGCGAAGGAAAATAAAAATAATTTTTGTAATGGGCAGAAAAAATAAATACTATGGAAAATTTCCGTAATTAATAAAATAAAAAGGAAAAACATTGAGCTTCTACTGCTTTTCAAATTTTCAACTCCGACGACGACCACGGAAGGTCGCAAAATTTTCAACTCTCTCGTCTTTCCGGACCAAAAAATATTGCCGGCACCACATCCGTTGACGCCGGGGAAGGGGAAGACCTTCAAAACCCCTTAATTCGACCTTATTTCATTCGGTTTCCCATTGGTCCGACAAATGAGCAGTCAGGCCATCCCTCCACCTCCACGGCGGAACAGCTTGGGCCAGAAACGAGGTCCGTCGGCCCCCTCCAGGAAATCCTCCGTCGCCGTCTCCGAAAACGGCAGCGCAAATGGAACCTCCTCCAAGCCCAACTCTCCTTCGTAAGTTCCGGCACCTCCTGGATATCTCCAATTCGGGAAATTGAGAATTTGCTCAGGCTTTTCCATTTCTCGGTCTAATTTTGTTTCTTCTTCCTATGGAGGTCTGCTGGCGGGGAGAGGACTGTGAAGAAATTGAGGCTCTCAAAAGCTCTTACCATACCGGAAGGCACCACCGTCTCCGATGCCTGTCGAAGGATGGCGTCCCGCCGCGTCACCGCCGTTTTGTTAACAGATGCGAATGCTTTGCTTTCAGGAATCGTCACTGACAAGGTTTCGTCGGCGAATCTTTTCCTTGCTCGTTTCCCCTTTTGTTGTGTAGCTTTCATTTCATTGTAGGTTCATTTCGTTTTTGATAGGATATCGCTGCTAGAGTAATAGCTGAGGGATTGAGACCTGAGCAGACGATTGTGTCCAAGATTATGACCAGGAACCCGATTTTCGTTGCATCCGATGCATTAGCCATTGAAGCTCTTCAGAAGATGGTTCAGGGTTAGTCTTTTCCCTACTTAATAATTGGATTATGATTTACTGAACTTATATAAGTAACACTCTGTGTTAATCTTTCTTTCTGTTGCATAATGACTTCCCAAAGTTCAATTCTTTTCGACAATTATGTTGATGGCTAACTCGACACTAGCTTCTGTCTTATGAGCAGGCAAGTTCAGGCACCTTCCTGTTGTCGAGAATGGTGAAGTTATTGCTTTACTAGATATTACAAGATGTCTGTATGATGCTATATCTAGAATGGAAAAAGCAGCTGAGCAGCGAACTGCAATTGCTGCTGCTGTTGAAGGGGTGGAACGTCAGTGGGGAAACAATGCTCCTGGTTGGTATTCTACTTGTTGGTTTTGTTAATCTTGTTCTTACAGCTCCAAACTTCTGTATTTTTAGTTCCTTGACTATAGTTTATGATTCTTCCTGCCTGTAGTTGGTCTGTTGAGCATAATGCTTGCACTTCCTCCCCTCGGTTCTTTTTCCAGTTGGTGACTATGTTAATGGTGGATCTTTATATATGCCTATATGGTACTAAACCATTGTATGTGGCATTAGTTTGGAGTTTTGGCTTGTGTTTGATGTGCAATGGTACTGTGGTTGATAGATTATGGTGTTATTGGAATGCAAATAGGCTAGAAGAACCGGAGCTTCGTGTTCTGGCACTCAAGCTATAGAACTCTGAACATTTTGTTACAAATCAAGGCTTTTTAGTTTCATCTTTGTCTAATACATACTCTGAGAGTCTCATTTAAGGTTTTTTTCTGTGTTTGTTTGTTTGTTTCAAGTCAAATTGTGTTGCTTAGTTGGACTTTTTGATCAGGGAAGCATTAAATCTTATCTTGTATGATCAATAGAATGGCTGCTCCACGAGCATCAGAGGTACCTATTGGGATAAATGTTCCTTTCCCTGAAGTTTTTTTCTGCTTTCTTTCGCCAAGGAGTGTCTAATGCGTCTAGCATAAGCAATAATACTATCTTCTCTCAGAAAGCAGGAAATCTTGTTATATATCTTATTTGGCTGACAATTTTACTAGATACAATGTTTTTATCTACCTTATTTGAAATGTTAATCTTACTTTATACAATATCTACTGTGCTGGAGCCAACACCATCTTACCTCTTCAGTCCTCCAATATGTTGGGTTGGGGTGTCCAATCTCTTCTGTCCCTTTTGCTGAGTTAACACCAAACTCTTTGACAATGCCATCTGTTACCACATAGAAAGAGTGGCCGCACAGGATTTTGTTTGTTTGTGTGCTGTTCTTAGTGTGGTAATTAACTATCAATCTAATCATCATCAAAGCTAAGCACGAGAAAACACTTTTGTTGGTTCCTGCTGTTGTTGCAGGCTTTGATTTTTTTATTTTTTATCTTGGTTGTATTCTTGTTTCTAGACAGTGTCTCTTTGATTTCTTGGTAATACAAGTATCTCTTGATGTAGAACAAAGTGGCGCTAAGCACGAGTGGTATCATGAGTTTGTAGTCAATGATGCTTCTTTTTTAAGGAAGGAAGCATTGTTTCTTGTTCTTCTATCTGATAGTTTGTTTAATTTTGTTTTTGTTTTAAACCATGCTTTTGCTTTAGCTCCAACATTCATAGAGACTCTGAAGGAAAAGATGTTCAAGCCTTCCTTATCAACAATTATTGGTGACCAGAAGTAATAACTTGTTCTTGTGCTTATTTTATGTGAAATTTTCCTATACGTAAATAGATTTGGATTTCCAATTTTGAAGTTTTGAACATTTTCAGGGTTGCAATTGCAGCACCATCAGATCCTGTCTATGTTGCTGCTAAAAAAATGAGAGATTTGAAGGTCAATTCGGCTATTGTTTCGACTGGGAATAAAATTCTTGGGATACTAACGTAATACTTACCCTGTTTACACTTTTTCTGTTATAAAATCTATGCTACTAAGTTCTTTCGGATACAGGATGTGCTGATTGGGTATTTACACTGATATATTGCTTGCTTCTGCTTTTTGTGTCACAGCTCAAAGGATATTCTCATGCGGGTAGTTGCACAGAATCTTTCTCCTGAGCTAACTTTGGCTGAAAAGGTAAATCTTGATCATTTTACTGACGAGATGGTTGGCTATATATTTGCAACGTAGCACCTTTCTTTATGTCGACTGGATATCAGTGTCTAATAGATCGTAACGGTTACTGGTCATTACCACTCACTTCGGTAGAACAATTCGTGAGAGTATAATCACTCCATGGTTATTTCTCTGAAAGATTTACTTCCTCTTCATATCTGTCTGAAGGTCTTACTCCATGAAAGTAAATTGTCACAATTGCTTCACATGGTTAGAAACAACTATGTTCTCTGTCATACTTTGTGTTTGTTGTGTCCTTATGCTAAGTGAAAATATTGTTATACAGTGTATTATTGATAAATACAATTATATGACCTATGCTTTCATAAAATATTCTCAAACATGCTAGTTAACCTAGTGAATGTTGTGGACTTTGGTTTATTTAAGATTTGCTTTGTGCTGTAGGTTATGACCCCAAATCCTGAATGTGCTACATTGGAGACTACAATCCTTGATGCATTGCATATCATGCACGATGGAAAATTCTTACATCTTCCGGTTGTGGATAAGGGTCAGAATTACTATCTTCATTTGAAGCCTTGGAGTTGTAATGTCTAGCAAACTCAGTCAACGACATTTAATATGCAGATGGAGTGGTTGCTGCATGCTTGGATGTTCTGCAGATAACTCATGCTGCAATTTCTATGGTAATTTCATTTCTCTAATGCAACATTTGATCAAGGGGTAAACTTTTGAAAATGTATTCTTCTTTTTCTAGCAATTTCCCAGGCATATGAAGTTGACAGATCATATTTGTATTAGTGCTCATCCCCCCTGTCTTCATTTGAGCGACTGTGTGGACATTTTTTCCCCCGGTAATGGCGACATTCATTAATTAAGTTGAAAGAAATTAAAAGTGGGGAGGTTACAGGAAAGAAATAAAACCAAACAGGTGTGGAAGATCTCCGAGACCAGAGGAGACAAACGAAACAAAAACCAAACAGTAGTGTGGACAATTTCTTACATGGCAGAAGTTGAAATCTAGTTGCAAACATTACTACATGGTTTGGATTTTGGAAGTATGAAATTTTCCAGGACAGTACTGAACTTAATTATGATTCTTGCCCTTTTGGAGCAATACAGTAAACTGAGTAGAGGTAGGCTCTGTTACAGGTATTGCCTAGGATGATTATTAATGCTTACAGACTCAATTCCTTGCTGATGCATTACAAAATATGTTTGGAGCATTTTATGGGTGATCTCTCTTTGTCTGGGGTAGTTAACATTCTCTGCTAGGATGTTTGTGCTAGTTGAATATCTTTGTATAGTCCTTTGTTATATTATACTAATTATAAGCTTTCCTAAAAGAAGAGAAATTTTCAAAAATCACGTGGTGGCTTCTATAAGATACTCGTTACTAGATGAAAGTTTATAGGAGTGCTCACCTTGCTTTGTTAATCAGCTTTTCTGAATCTCTTGCTAGGTTGAAAGCAGCTCTGGAGCTGTAAATGACATGGCAAGTTCGATGATGCAAAAGTTTTGGGATTCCGCTCTTGCTTTAGATCCCCCTGATGACTATGACACACATAGGTCTCTCTCTCTCTCTCTCTCTCTCTCTCTCTCTCTCTCTCGCTCTAACTAACTTGCCAGTTGTTGATCTGTGCACAACTTGGTAATTACTTCTGCAACTAATTTTGTGTTAATGTTGACTTCAGTGAAATGTCTGCTATGCTGACATCTGATGCGACTGAACTTGGGAAGTCCTACACGAACCTCGGTCTTGAGAATTCCTTTGCCTTCAAATTTTTAGACCTTAAGGGTCGAGTCCATCGAGTTAATTATAGTAAGTTGTTATTTGGGGTTTCTCCTGCCCGTTCTGCTTTGCTTTACATGGACTGTGAAAAAATTGAGGATATGTTATATCTCACTTCTTGACTTCTGTCAGGCACTGAAAACTTGGAAGAACTTGCATCTGCTGTCTTGCAAAGAATCGGTGCATCTGAAGAACAAGATCGTCCTCATCTTTTGGTTAGATATGTTTACTTGTTTAGCTAGTGACACCTCTGTGTTTTTGTTTCTTTTTTAATAGCAAGTATACTTTTCTTTGTTTATGTTTGCTTGATACTTTATTCTTTCTCATTTCTGCAGTATGAAGATGATGAAGGTGATAAGGTTTTGCTTGCTACGGATTCAGATCTAATAGGTGCGGTTGGGCATGCTAGGTCTGCAGGTTTGAAGGTAGTGCTAGCGTATCCTAGTGATATACTATATTCATCCAGTGCCACGAGTGTCAGGTCTACTATAAACTTTGTAAAACTCAAAACTTTAGGAAACACTCGAACTCTTATTAGCTCCATCTCTCATATGAGAAACGTTAGGAAGGGCATCCTTCTATCACTAGGAAACTTGATACAAGTGTTTCTCCTACTAGAAAAACAGCAATAGGAATAAATCCTGGTCAGTGGTCACAAAGCATACAGTAGTACCTATTGATAACATAAATGCACATAATCAACCCTAGTACCCAAATTCTTGCGGAACATGATTCCTGTCAATATTTTATAACTGTTATAGCTGAAGCTCTAACATTAATATGTTATGATGATGTCCATTGATGTTCCATTCGATGTTCATTGGCAGTTAGTGAGAGGTTTCTGATCTTTGCATTCATGGTTCTGAACTTTTGAATCATCATCCCTTTTGGTTGGTCCCAGGTCTTGAGACTGCATCTGGACTTTGCTGATTCGAGCCAGAATACTGAACCAGAGTCTGTTACAACGACAATGGAGACAAGAAGTCAATGGAGGTCGTACCAATTCAGCCTCTTAGCTGGGGCAGTTGCCTTGACAGGGATCGGTGTGGTGGTTTACCTCAAACGATCTCAGTTATGAGATACCAGTTCCAGACTTCGAAGAAATGGGAAATTGTTAGGGAGAGAAGTGGATAGTGAGAGCCTCAGGACAACCTGCTGAGTGCTGAGAGGTTCGATTATATTTGTATGATTGTATAGACCCTATATGATTAAAGACTGAGGGACGAGGACCTCCGTTTTGGCCGACGGGTTGTCATATTACTGATGGTTCATCTCCCAGTTTCGTGGCGGTGAAAATACTGAAGATTAACGTTATAGGTTAGAGAAGGTGTTCTTATGGCTGCCATTATATCCTCTCTTTTATGGACTTTGGTCCCAGTTTTGCCGTTGGTTTTTGCTGCACTTTGTATACTTTGTTTCTTTTTCCTTCCTCACATCTTATCTCATGAAGTATGTTTGAAGGGTTATATAATGTAACGTTTATTTAATGCAGCAGTTTAATACTTTTGGATTCAACTCACCAAAACAACTAGTAACCTCTTGCCATATCATATTCACAACTATATCCCATTAGGAAATAAGGATGAAACGTGCTGGGTTCCCCACTTTTTTTATTGTTCAAGAAGAGGTGACAAATATATTGGATTTATGAACTCCTCTCATTCCTCATTTGTCAATTCACCAGCCATCGAAATTGAGGGGCAATATTGGGTTCATTTTCCTTTGTTTCATTGGTTGAATGAAACCAACTCTTCTTCGTTACCACAATCAACTCAAGCCTCCCTTTCTCCACGTGGCTCAAACAAGAGAATGATAATTGTGTTTATTGTCCTCAAACAACCGCAAAACCCTTTTGTACGTCCCCTCTCCCACTCAACCATCAACTGACAATGGAGCAGGTACGGGTGGGGTTCTTGGTGCCCAAACTCGCTCCGTAGCAGGTAGGGTTCAGATCGGGTAATTTATTACGGGTCGCAGGTCGGGACAGGTCGACCCAATGGGTATGCAATTTAAATGAAAAATATTAGAATTATTCGTTATTTTTATTTTAACACCAAGAAAGCAAACAATATTATGATAAATGTAGTTAAATTATTAGAGGAATTGAGGTTTTCACTAATTTACAACTTTATTATAGCTAAACTATAATGTAATAAAAGAAAAATCCAAAGTAATTTGACTAAGATTATATGTAATTTTAGGCAAGAACGAATCGAGATGGGGGGGATCAGGGCAGGTCGGGTCGATGAGAGTACCCATGCCCGCCCCACCCCAAAACAGGCCAAATAGGTCGGTAAAACGGGTGAGATCGAAATTGTCATCCCAGTCTGTTAACGTGAGGAGGAGGGAAGTGAAGTAATGTGCTTATAGAGCTCATTGTGTCGTATGAATATATTATCAAGGTAAGTAGTTTTCTTCTTTCTTCTATAATCTATTTCTTATTTGTTTGCTACTTTTTATTTACACTCACCATCCATTGCATTTAGTTTGATAAGTTGATGGTGATTTGATTTTCTACACCTAACCATCAAGGTTGTCAACCCGCGGGTCGACCCATTTTAACCCTTTCTTGGTGAGAAAAACGGGCCGCACGCACCCGCCGGGTCGACTGCTACAAGGTACTGGGTTGAAGGTCAAATTGTGTCATTTTTTTCTTTGGTTTGCGAAATGCGCCTATTTTTCGATTTTTCTTTTGATGTTATATAAGTGTGTTTGAATTTTCACTATATGTTGAATCTAAGTAATGTTATTTTGGTGGAATATTATATGTTATAACTCATACGTTAGATGAGATTTGATATAATTTATCAGGATAAGTACAATATAGCGATGACATGCATAGCGATGGCGGTGTTCGGAGGTGGTGTGTGTCGTTCTCGGCAAACCGCAACCAAAAATCGAAATCGACGGTTGCGCTTGGAAGTTAACCGAAGACCCCTTCGATCTCGGCTTCGGTTGGCAATGGTGGGTGATTCTCGGTCTCGGCTAACCAATGGTTCGGTTCGGTTAAACCCAAACCGCACCGACTAACACCACTAATGATGACCAGGTCTCTAAAGTTAGAAGCATTTCAACTAATGCGAGAGAGGTAAGATGTGTGAGATGCTGATGAGATTGCATAAGAATTGAACCCAGGTCGCTGCGAGAAGAAACAATTTGGCGCCAGGAGGAAAAAGTTCATGCCCCATCCCTATAATTGAAGTTGCGTCGTTTGTCCATTTACAGTTTGTTCATTTAAGTTTGGTTTGTGTCATTTAGAGTCCAGTCGAGCGTTTAGTGTTTGCATACATGTCTGTTGCTTAGTGTTGAAGTCAGTATGAGTCTGTTAGCTAAGTTGTAGGGTTGTGAATCATGGTTAGTGAGAAGCTAAGATTGTAGGCTAAGATCATTGTACTTATGATCAAGCAAAGAAATTGTATTCATTGACATGTATAATAGGCAATAGCACTATTATGCTTCTGATGATGACGTATGATGTATGAGCTCAGAAACAAAAAAAAAAAAAAAAAATCATGGTTAACGAATTGTGTATGTGTGTACACTGTAATAAGTGATCCTGAAGAACGATCAATACTCTTACCATTATCTGCACATCCTCATGAGTTGGCGCACTGGTTGGGAGTAAACGACAATGTCTCCTTACCAAGGTCGTAGAGCACCAAGAAATTCTGCTGCTGAACATTCCCGAAGATCGACATCCCGTTCGACCTCCCCATCGCCAGGCAAACCACCCCTGCGCTCGAATCCGCAATCATGTAATTCTCCGCCGGCAGCTCCAAATCCGCCCCTTGGAAATGAAACACCAGGCTCGGCACTTCGACGTTGCCCGACCCGCCCGACGGCAGATCGAAGCACAGGTCCAGACCGGTCGAACCGGAATCGTCGACCGACAAATCGATGGCGGCCACAAACGCCTTCTTCACCTCATCGTACGCGACGCCTTCCAGGTACGTGATGGTGGTCCCGGAATCGATGATCATCCCGCCGCTGCCGTCGCTCTGCAGGGCGAAAGCGGACGCCGGGATGGGCAGGCTGCTCCCGCCGACCGAGATTCCTTCCAGGGCGACGTAGTAAAACGACGGCTGGGCCGAGTTCTGGATCAAACCGGTCGTGACCGACGAGTTCCCGGCCGGCCCAGCCAGCGAGCCCATGGACAGCGTGCTGCTGGAGGCGTCGTTTATGGAGGTCAGGCAGTAGGAAAATTTGGGCTGGTCCAGCTGTGAGACGAGCGAGAGTGGGCCTCGGCCCAGCCCGACGAGCCCACCTCCCTGCGAGAACCCGTCCCCTTGGTTATCCTCCCCGCACCCGAACCCGAGTTGCGGAACCTTGACTTGGTTCCCGCCGAAAGTGAAGGTCTCGGTGGCCATGACCCCCTCCGTGGAGGAATCGTCGCCGTAGGTGTAGAGGTAATTGCAGCCGTCGGATCCGCACAGCGACTGCGGCAGGGCGGAACAGAGGTCGCTGGAGCAGGGCAGCTTCGCGAAAGTCGAGGATTCGGAGGGGTCGAAGATTGGGGTGGGCTGGCTGTAGCAGCTGATACTGCAGGGCTCGCATTGCGTCCATATTAGGTCGCTTCCCGTGTCCACAATGGCCGAGTAGGACACGGGAGGCGTCCCGATTGCCAGCTCCATCAGGAACTCGCCGTTCCCGGCTTCCACGGGAGCGGCCACGTCTTCTGATGGAGCGGATTGGGTCGGAAGAACCATTGCGTTGAGCTTCTGGAGCCTGTAGTTGCCGCGCTTGATCCCGCGCTGGAGGCTCTCGATCTTTGTGAGGTTCTTGCCGGAGTCCACGTGCGTGAGGGCGACCTGGAAGCCGCCGCCGGTGGTGGTGGTGGTTGCCGGGTGGAGCTGCTGGGTGAGCCACCGGGAAGTTGAGGCTGCCGGTGAAGATAGTAACAACGCGGCTGCTAGCAGTGGCAGCAGAAAGACACTAGTGAGAGCAGCCATTGATGGGTTTTTTTTTTATATATGTGATTGCACTTGCTAGAGTGGGGATCAGAGATTTGTTAGAGCTAGAAATGGAGATGTATGTATTTGTGTAGATTGAAGCAATTGAGCAACCTATATATATTGGACTGGATCGAGGTAGGCAAACTAATGGAGGTATGTTCGTGTATATTTATATAATTTACAAAATTGGGGATGAAACAGGAGAAAGCGAAAAGCCAACTAACTAGCTAGCTAGGAGGTTACAGTCGCGAGGAAAATGAAGGATAGGGGAACATCTCATTATATATACTACTCTTTTTCTTTTGTTTCTGTTGTGAAAAATGGCGTCCTGGTTGTTATATACTTCGCGAGTCATAGTCCAATCATGCAAAACAGAAAAAGGCATTGTGTAAATGAATTTTAATTAACGTCTACAATTTGTGCTAATGATGATAGAGAGTTGGTCAACGGGATAAGGTTTTTAATTATCAAAGGGTTCAATGATAGGACTCGGATTTACGGTGCCAAAACTGGGAATAGCTAACTCAAAAAGAAATGGAAATTAGGGTTTATAAGAGAATAATTTTGATTGATTGAGGAGATTTACAGGTATTCTAGGGAGAGAGATAAGTTTAGCCAATTATTCTTCTGTATTTGGTTGACTAAACCGAAACAATCATAATGGAATATAACTAATCACAATTAACCCCTACTATTAAAATACTAAATAACACCCAAAGGTTAATTAAAATGTACTCAAATAATCTGATATTATAAAAACACCATAAAACATAATAATTAGTCGACCTACCCGAAGCCAACCGATAAAAACCAGGTTTATATTATCCAATATACATTTGATGAAATAAGGGTTGGTTTGATTTTGGTGATAGTTTAATTGATGCATTATTATCAATGCATACATAATAATATATATATATATATATATATATGAAAATTGGGGTATTGTAGTTTACCGCGTTTGGTTTCTATGATAGTTATTGTAGTCTTTAAATAAGTTATATTCCTTTTTGGGTGAAATGTCACTTTTACCCTTTGTTTTAAATATAAAAATGCAACACACATGAAAAGGTAGGGACATAGTTGGAAGAAGAAAAAGACTCAACAATCTCAAACAAACAATCTTAACAATCTCACTCAAAAGTTGAGATTTAACTATCAATCATTTTGAGTGATAGTTAGTATCAAATCAAGCAAACAATGCATGTATTGTTTGTATGGCTGGGAAAATAGACCAGACCGTTAGAAAAACCGTGGTCCAAACCGTACCGCACAGTTTGGTCCGGACCGTAGACCGTTAAGTATGGTCTGGTCTATGGTCTGTATTATCTTATGTTTTGATCTCTTGGTCTGGTCTGGTCTAGACCGCGGTTTACCGGACCAAACCGTGGACCCAACTGACTTGTCAATACGTGTTAACAGCCCATTCGACCACTCTCCCAACTCCTACAACGACACCCAAGCCTGAACCTTAGTTTGGTGAATCTCGTCCCTCCTTCATTCACAACCACATTTAACCAGAGAGTAGAGATAATCGTGTCTTCATATGACATTATGTTAATGTTTATGACGTTATGGTGCAAGTTGGGATGCTTTTACTTTGTATCTTTGTTATGTACTAAGATTTAGAGTATCAAAATTATTCATGCATGCTAGGATTAATGATTTAAGCCAAATAACAATTATTTTTCCTGGTTATTGGTTCAATTTTTTGTGTGGTTGACTAAACAAATTAATCATTTTTCGTTGAGAGTGGTCTATGTGGACCAGACCAGACCGAACCAGACCGCACAGGCGTGGTCTGGACCAGACCGTATAGTCTGTGGTCTGGGCTATGGTCTATACTTTAGCCTCTTGGTCTGGACCATAGACCGTATATATGGTCTGGTCTGGACCAGACCGCACCGTTTCCCAGCCCTAATTGTTTGTGCAAAAATATATATATATATATTGGGTCACACTCGTATGGTCTAGACGCATAGCATGCTCCAGGTTCTCTTTACCATTGATCTAATCTAATGGTACACTATTAATTTCATAAAAACTATTTTTTGAATTATAACTATAATTACGACTACACCTACTAAAAATTTATACATACGGTATAGTCCCCTAACAATTTTAATCAATTACGTTTTACCCAAAACCACGTTATTTCTTCTTGACATAGTGTAAGTCACCTAATTATTTTTCATTTTGTAAAATCCCCCTTCACAATCCACTTTTACATCAATTAACTAACCCTCAAGAACAGAGAAAACAAACCCAGTAAACCAAGAACAAAATTGTAGTAAAAGACCCCCCTCCCTTTCATCACACCTCTCCGCCACCAAAAGCCCTATGTTTTTTTAGAATTCAAAAGCCCTCTGTTATGCAACGCTGTAGTGTATTAGGGAACGAATCATTTATCCTGTCACTCTAAAATTAGCAGGGAACACGAAAAGGCATCTGTTATGCAACACCGTTGTTCCCTCGTGACTCTTCTTCCATCTCCCCTATTCTCAACTCCGGCCACAAGAATTCCCCTGCCGTGATGCGAGGTCCTCTTTTCATCGCAGCCTCTGCTATTTTTCAACGACGTCCTTTTAATGGTCGTACACAGTGATCGATTCTGGTTTGTCGAGAGAGGGCACCAGTCCGCTACACCGGGACGAGGACGTGGTGGAGTTGATGCCTGTCGGAAGCCGAGGATGAGCTCGACTCTTGGGCTGGATGAGGAGAGCAAGCCACAACTGTGTATAATCTGGAAACCTCAAACATGAATTTTACGAAATAAGTTGAATCCCTTTGTCTGCTATGATGAGGTCGCTTTAGGGTTTTAGGTTTTGATGTTTGCTGGATTTGGATGATGATTATCAAATTAAGGGTAGTTCTTTGGGGGAAGCTGGGATGAACTGATGAGTGATGATGATGGGAGTCGAATTGGGTGATGAAATCCAAGTTTTGATTCATTAATTTGGGCCAAATCTTATTGGAATTTTTTTTTATCAATCGTATAAACTTTTGGGGTTCAATAAAAACCTCTATGAAATAATGATAATCATAGTTGGGGGACTTCATAGCTTATATAATTATTTAAAGGGGTAGTTTGTAATATAATTTTTAATAAATAATTCATTTGAATATAATTAATTAAAGTCGTTAGATTAGATCAACGGCACTGAGAGCCTGGAGCATACTATGCGTCTGAAGCATACGAGTCGTATCCATATATATATATATATAAACAATATGTTGTGAACAATGATTGTAATTATCCCAACCAAACAATCACCAAAACCAAACAACCCCTAAATATGGGGCTTAGGTTTTCATTAAAGCAATCAAGCATTACTCATTCTATTGCAACTAGAAAAATCTGTCATTATTACAAACAGTAAACAGCTAATAAAATATATCATTCATTTTGAGGTAATACTGTAGCATATATACCAGTCAATATTCTAAAATCCTTATTTCTTAAGATGTATATAAATTATGTAATAAAAAAAGAAGATGTATATAAATTATAGACATTTCAATAACTATCGCAGCTTGGGGTATGTTAAGTTAGTGTCCTTTTTGTGAGATAAGTTAGATCACTAGTCAATTAAAATAACTTGATATACCTAAGTTGACATTAATTATGAAAGGTAATTCTCTTGTTGGAAACAAACGGAATAGGTTATTGGAAGAGAAATTTTACAATGCTATATAGTATTGGTGCTATAGGTTTTTGCCTTTATGGTACAACTTAAAATCGTACATTTACGTTATGGTACAACTTTAGATTGTACCTATACTTTTTGTACAAATTCTTTTATGGTACAACTTGAACTTGTACCTTTATGTGATGGTATAACTTCAAGTTGTAAAGTTGTACCATAACATAATAGTACAAATTGCTTTATGGTACAACCTAAACTTATACATTTAATGTTATGGTACAACTTTGAGTTGTACATTAAAGCACCAATACTATATAGCATAGTAGAGTTGCTCGTTATTGGAAATGGATGTACCGAAAGACGAAAGTGTGAGAAACCTTATGTCACCCACCCGTGTGGAAAGCAAAGGAAGAAAGGTGTGGAAGGCGATATAGCAACCCGTTAAAATAGACATAGCATTCTTCACTAAAGCTTAAACAAAATTTCTATTAAAAAAAAAAAGTTAAACAAAAGGAGGGATTGGGTAGTGAGTTGACTGTTGACTCCTTGCGTGGTGGTTGGGCAAAAATGAAAGCCTAAATATCAAACCCAACACCAAGCTATGTGTAATTGATTAAGCCTTTCTATTTTGGGGAACTTTAACTATGAGTAACAAGTGAGTGAAAGTAAGAGCTGGATAGCTATTATTTACCTGCATTTCTTGCACTTTTGTGATACTAGTGGGAATTCATCGGTAGAGATGATAGAAAGTACAGGACTTTGCTATGATGACTTGTATTTGTACATTTCGGTCGATCGAAAGGTAAGAATGGTCGACCGAATATATTGATTTCGTTTTGTGATTGTCAACAACGCGGTTGACCTTGTACATCAAATGGTCGACCTATTTGGCAAGCGAACACCATAAAAGGTCGACCCCTTATGCTAAAACGGATGACCTTTTGCATTAAAATGTCAACCTCTATCGCATTAACTTATCAATATCAAACTCTGATTTATTTCCTAACACTAGAAAAGGTAAACCAGTGAAGTACGTGGTCGACCGTTTACACACAATCCGTATTGAATAAAGATTCCAACACTAGAAAGATAACCCAAACTTGTCTACCACTTAATTCGCCCTAATCTCGTCCTAAATATCTATACATAAGAATATATGTCACCTTCACCGTCACTCAAACACTTAATTTGGTTTCTTCTAGGGTTAGAGTTTTGGTGAAGAAGAAGACTGATGCTTGTTCTTCCTATTTGGGTCCCAGACGGTCGACCACATACAAGGTGAGGTCGATCTAATTTAGGGTACGATGTTGTTCTTGCTCTATTGTAATTTTCTCCGTTTAATTTGAAGTTTGAATTGATTTGCTTTCATCTTCTAGGGTTAGAGTTTTGTGCAAGAAGAAGAAGATCGTGGTGGTTGTTCTTGTACGTGTTCCACGCGGTTGACCACTTCCAAAGTAAGATTGATCGATTTTAGCTACCTCTATCGTCATTGCTATTTCGTAATTTGCTTAGTTTAATTTGATGTTTTTGTTTGCTTGCATAAGAAGTCGGTTAGCCACTCCAACAATCACTCAAAATTGAGAGATTATCAATCTCAACAAAAAATATAGATTCTTCACAGTCACTCAAAGTTAACTTTTGTGGTTTCACAACAAAAAGACAATTTAAACCTCCAAACAATATATTTGCCTAATACATCAAATGATAATATACTAACTGGCTCAATACATCAATTTGAAGAATCACAACTTCCAAAAGAGTTTAACATATTCCATGTATGGAATGATTAATTTAATTTGTAGGAAAAAAAACTGACTGCTTTGTCACTAAGGTCGAAGTTTTGATATGCATATGTATTTTGTCTAAACTTAACCCCGTGTGCAATTAAATATTTAATAATCAAATCAGTGTTACTTAAGTTTCAATTTCAGGATTAATTCTATAAGATATAACTAACTTTAAATAAAATATAAAGAATCAAATATAGAATATGTCTCTTGTTTAATTAAAGAAATTTCAACGAATACGATGTAGTCTACTTATTTATAAACTTACAATACTCTTTTTTTCATTTTAGTGATCTGGTTTAAATCCCAATAACCAACTTTTTAATATGTAAACAAATGAGGTAAAATTACTAAATAGAACTTTCTAGAATCGCTCATAGGCGACGAAATTTAAAATTAGGATTGCATTTTTCTCATTCATCTTTAAAGCAATGAGTTTTGTTTGATTAAGAAAATAACTACAAATATGATGTAGTGTAGTTGGTTAGTTGCTCTTTGTTTATTTCAGTGACCTGAGTTCAAATTCTAGTAATACATTTTTTATAATATGTAAACAAATGAGGTACAATTACTACTATCAGCTTATTAAAGTTAATATCATTTTTGACTTTGAACTACAATATAACTTCTATAAATTAATATAGTCGGGATCGTGAAAATTATTAATTTATAGTAGTTATTAATTAATTGATAAATTAATAATTATTAATTTAAAGATGTTTTTCTTATGATATACGTTCATCGAATCTTCCAAACATTTCAAGTTCACAAGATAACTTATCGCATTCTACATATTCATTATACTAAAATTTAATAGAAGAAAATTATGTATTCTTCCAAGATACATGTATTCGATGTATTTTTGCAGATGGTCTAGATTCGTGTTTTAAATTACTTGCACCCCTATATTCATTGATCATACATTCTATATAATTCATCGAATAGATGGTGACCCGATCACTATAAATATTACTACAGAAACACTGTAAAAATTATATTCTTCCATGACTTCTCATTTCAAAGATGTCCACGTGATCGATCAAATACGTAAACAGTTATGTGAGTACAAGACATATCATCCCTCATGCAACCCAAAAAGATTTGATGGTGTGGTTTGACCAAACTTTCCATTTAAAAGTTATTCAAGATGAACTTCTATTATACTTGAACTTCAAGAATAAACAAACAATTATATATTCATATTTTTCTAGATTATCCTAGCTATATTATAAATTTCTAGATGAATTTTATTTTTAAAATGATTTATTTATAGAGTTAAAAATACATGTATTTATGCAGGTTGGTTCTAAAAAATTATGATCTTATTATTTTATACAATTTGTTCATTTTTAACACTGCCCCAAGTCGGGACCGGAAAAATTATTAACTTATACTAAGTTATTAATTTATTGATTATTAATTTAAAGAGGTTGTACTGTATAATTTATTTTTTTCAATCATGATCCATGAACGGTTTATTTTCTTATCATGACTCTTAATTGAAAAAATTAACATAGCAATGGTAAATTTGTAATTAATGATTTTTTGAATGAGTCGGCGCCTAATTAGCATGTGTAGTGCGCAGTTGGGTCTGGTTCAAGAGAAGATTAACTGTTAACAAAACCGATTCAACTTTAACTTGGCTAATTTGATTGTTGTTTAATTTGGTAGGTTTGGTTAAGATAATTTATTTAATAATTTATAGAATTTAGACTTAAATGGTATGGTAATAATAACTATGGTAAAAATTCGAACACCCCTACTATAGAAATTGGTGCGATTTCTCTCAACTATTCAATGAAATTAGAGTTCTGGAATTTGGGCGAAACTTTGTGGGATATGAAATTAGGGGAAATTTAGGGTTTTGGATTCTTATAGAATTATTGTGAGGGTTCTTGCTCATTACCACATTGCTCAAGATAGGGATGAGTTAGCGTGGTTACTTAATTTTTAGTAATCACGGTGGCTACCTTAATCTAAATCATTCATTATTTCTTTTTTATTCTATTTTTAAATTAATGATGAAGATTATATTAGGATAATTTTGGAAATAAAAAATATAACACACCTAATTACTCTATAAATTATATTCAAACCCTAACCCTACTGTAACCCGCCGCTTACCACCACACTCCCTCCCCCACTACCTCCCGCCGTCCATCCTCCCTCTCCAAAATCCCCTCCCTCCCGAGAATACCCTCCACCACCGTCCGGCCAGCCAACCTCCCCTCCATCGCCCTCCTCCATTCCCTTCCTCTCTCGCATAACCTCTCATCCCCCCTCCATCCATCCCTAGCACACCCCCCCCCCCTCATATCTCCCTCCCTCCATTGCCTCGCCACTTTTGAATCTTCCTCTGACGTTGCTGACGACGGCGTTGGGTTCCGAACATGGATCACCGGTCGAGGTCGTGGTTAGAAATGGTAACCCGATCAGAGAGATCAAATACAGTTTGCCGGAGAGCGTTCAGCTTCGCTTCTGCAGGTAATCTAGAATGATAGTGTTTGCATTGGTAGAGGATTTGCTTTGGTAGCTACCTTGCATTTTATTATGGTACTGTTTGCATTATGTTTTGGTGGTTACCTACATTTTCTTTGGTAGTGTGTGCATTACGCTTTGGTAGTTACTTGCATTTGTGTTGGTTAGATGGAGCATTATGTTTTGGTAGTTATCTGCATTTGCTTTGGTAGTGTTTGCATTATGCTTTGGTAGTTTATCTGTATTTGTTTTGGTAGTGTTTGTATTGATTTATTTATGAAATGATAATGTTTTGATTTTACAGTAGTAGTGGTATTTGTTATTTTGGTATTTGTTTGACTTTTGTAATGGTATAGATTATTTATATTGGTAGTTTTCGTGTAATGATATAGATTTATTTCTACAATGGTATTGATGTTTTTCGAAACGGTAGTGGTTTTCTAATGGATTTGTAGTGATTTCATGTTTTTTCTTTTGCAGAAAGATTGAGAAAAATATGGAAAGGAGATCTGCCTGGAGATTACGGAAGTGAGAGAAAAAAAAGGATTGTAATTAATAGATTTTAATAACTAACTAAAATGTGATTTAGTAAAATTAATTAATATAATTTATTTTTCCATAACCACTGTGAAATATACAAAACGAGGAAGAGTGAGGCATGAACGGGGAAGACGAGGAAGAAAGACACCCAAACAATAGGATAAAGAAGGGCAAACTTGTATTTTTCGATTTCACTCTAGAAACTAGAGGTGTCAATCGGGCAGGTTCGGGCTGGGTTCATTTGGGTTGCGGGTTGGTCGGGTTCGGGTTCACCGGGTTGCGGGTCAATCGGGTTGCGGGCAAATCGGGTTACGGATCAATCGGGTTACGGGTCAATTGGGTGCGGGTCAATCGAGTTGCAGGTCGGGCGGTTCGGGTTGCGAGTTTTACGAACCAAAACATCGCGTTACTTTTTAGTGATTACTAGTAAGTCGTAAATCAGTCACATGCTGCTAAACTACTGCACCACCACCGCCACTGTTGGCATGAATGAAAGTAAATATTTATTGCACAGAGCTCGCTATCTCTTCTGCCGTGAACCTTCCCTCACTTTCAACCTATACCGCACCCACATATGACATAACACACACTAATCACTAATCAGTAGTCCATGGAAATTGGCATAATGAACAAAACAAACATTAATAACCAACACCTTCACCTCCACGTCAACCAAACAAGCAAGCAGAAAAAGTTCATTTATTTTCTAATGCCTAACTTTTCTCTCTACGGACTACGATTGGAGAGCCCAAAAAGGACCCGGGAAATGAAAAGAGTTTGGCGCCTGGTGGTGGTCATGAAATTTTAGAATTGGCAAAGGCCCGGGAAACGAAAAATCATTTGGCGGGTTATCAAAATGAAACGGTATTCTTAAATTTCTATTTTCTAGCTATTGGCCAGGGTATTATCTTCTCGTTCTATGATTTTATTTTAGATGGGATCTCGTTCTATGATTCACATGTAATAATAATGAGGAAAATATGGATCTTGTTCTAGATGGGAAGAGAAGGCTAAAATACACGTAAATAAATTCTCGTGATTATAGTTATATAATCAATTACGGGAAATTTTACCGTGAATATTAGTATACTTCTTAGTACGGGAAACACTACCATGAATAAGATCCCGTGACTAAAAACTAGTTTTCCTGTAGTGCTTATACCCTAACCCATTAGACTAACCATATCTCTATACATCGACTCTATAGTCTATATACCCTAAACCCCTAATGGTTTGATTCATGAACATATGTTAATAAGAAAAGTTGATCTTATTAGTTATGATTTTGACTAACCGTGGTCAAACCATTAATATCTTATACCCTAACCCATTATATACCCGTTACACTAACCATATACCCTATACATCGACTCTATAGTCTATATACCCTAAACCCCTAATGGTTTGATTCATGAACATATGTTAATAAGATAAGTTGATCTTATTAGTTATGATTTTGACTAACCGTGGTCAAACCATTAATACCTTATACCCTAACCCATTATATACCCGTTACACTAACCATATACCATATACATCGACTCTATAGTCTATATACCCTAAACCCCTAATGGTTTGATTCATGAACATATGTTAATAATAAAAGTTGATCTTATTAGTTATAAGTTATTATTTTGAGTTATGAACATATGTATTCTTGCTATGATCAGACTTTTGTGAACTATTATTAGTCTTTTTTATGATAGAATCATGATATTTGGATTTTAAATCTTATAATTATCTTATTATGCTAAATTAATATTTTGAGGTTTTAGTTATAACTTATAACCATATACCCTATAAGTCGATCGTTATTAGTTATAACTTATAAGTTATTATTTTGAGGTTTTGACTAATCGTGTCTAAACCATTAATACCTTATACCCTAACCTTAATAGTTAACCGTAACTTGTTTTTTCCAAGTTTTTTTTATTCATTATTTGTTTTTTCAATCCATTCATTTTTTTTTGAAAATCCATTAGTTACTTTGAAAGCCATTATAATTACGAGCCTTAATTTCATGTTACCCTTTTTGATGTTTTCTTATCCTTTTTATTAATTTTTTGTTTTTATCATTGTTGACTCCTGATACGATGCCGTTTTGTAAATCCTATGGCTGGCGATGCGATGCAGACATGCAGTCCTCCTCTCCATCCAACTGGGAATCGCTTTCCCTTTCCACCTTTCCCAAATCGAACGAAAACCCTAGTTCCTCCCTTCTTTTCACAAAAATTCTAAAATTTCCCTCATTCTTTCTCCTTCCACACATTAGAAAAACTCAATTTTCCCTCCTCTTTCTCTTCCATAAAATTGAAAGAAACAAATTACCCTCTTCTTTCCTTCTACAAAAAGTTGAAAATTCAAAAGTTCCCTCCTTATTTCTCTTTCATAATAAAAAAAATCAAACGTTCCCACTCCTTTCTTTTCCCACATATCAAAACCACCAAAATTTCCACTTGTTTCTTTTCTAAAAAATTCAAAGAACCAAATTCCCTCTTCTTTTTCTTCCCAAAAACTTGAATACACCAAAATTTCCCTCTTCTTTTAAAAACATCAAATTACCAAATGCATTACTTTACTTTATTTATATTTAATTGATAATTTTATTGAATAGTTAAATTAACC